AAGAAAAATGAACCTGCCGTTTTGTTGGCAGCCATAATAGATTTTCATAGATAACTCCATCCTGCTATTCAAGCCCTTTCATTTGATATCCATATTGAGGGATTTGGTGATAAAATATGTAATCCGCCATTTTGTAGCGGCGGCCATCTTGGATTTACAATGATTTTTATAATGATACGAAAGTATTAAAGTCTATTGTCATCAGAAATAAAAGTGCGTACCAAATTTCAGATCGTTCATGGGACAGTGTATACGCTTCTACAACAAAATCCCACTTAACGTGCAAAGCCTATCTATTAACAGGTTTAAGAAATTTATAAAAGAAAATCTTGTTAAAAAGGGTTATTATAATATAAATGAATACATTAATGATAACAATCGGTTATCGGCAATTTAACGGTGGTAGGGCTACGCAACACTGTTGCACGAATGAGCAGGTCCGTCCGGGAAGTACCACGACCTCACAGAAGACCGACGTAAAGTAGAAGTGTTACACTTCTGCGTTTCGTCTGGTGAGTGAGGTAGCCGGGACCCACTTTATTTAAAGGTGGCAACGCATTTGTAACCCTAAAGGTGTTGCAAATGTCCATGGGCGGCAATTATCACTTAACATCAGGTGAACCGCCAGCTCGTTTGCCACTTTTTCACAAAAAAAAAATCCCTGGGAATGAGATGATAGCCCTAAGCTGTTTCTAAAAAAATATTATGTACTGTAAAAATGACAAAAAAGAGGATACCTACGGATTTTCTTCTCCGTTAGTGGAACCTCATTAAGAAATGGTGGTAGATTTAAAAAATGACTATAGATAGATGAAATGTATATTTCTTATTTCGATGAATAAATGATTTGATTTGATTTGAATCCGTCAACAGGAAGGGGTTCAAATTTCAATTACTAGATTTGACCCAAACAGGTCAAGCTAAATAAAACCGTTTAAAAATACAAATTATAATATTATGCAGGTTGTACCAGTTTTTTTCCATTCTTTATTGAAATAAAAATTAAAAAAGGTCCTATGACTTTTCACTTCATTTCAATTTTTAAGAGCTGTGATAGCTCAGTGTCAGGGCAACTTTAATTCAACATACTCGAGCAACCTGAGTTCGATCCCCGGTGCCGGCACCAATGAAGTTTTTAACTTTAAGTGCTGACTTATCACATGCTGAAAACATCGTGAGGAAACCTGCATATATTCGAAGATAGAGGAAACCTTTGCCCAGCGGTGAGACATGTATAGGCTGATATTTTTTTTTATTTATGAATTTTAACGGTTCGAAAAATCTCAAATTTGAACCCATGAAAAAGATATACACGGTGGTAGGGCCATGCAACAGCTGAGGCTGTGTGTAAAATACGGTTAAAACAGAAAAAAAGCAGTATAATAAGAACCTTACTAAAAAAAAATATGAATTGACTAGTGAAGATATTAACAATTTATAAAAATATTATTGGCACTTGAGTACAATTTTATCGAATGTCTGAATCTAGATATATTTTTGTCAAAAATATCGATTTCTGTTTCCTTATTTAATAAAATAAGCCTTATAACTTAACGCCGATACTTAAAAAAATTGTTATAAACAAATTGTAGACAATTTAATTATTAATAACTCTGCTTTCTCTAACAATCTTGATAGAGTTAATAGTTTTAAGATAAATAATAAATAAGAATTCAGGACAGAGAGGCAGATGCAGCGCATGAGTCAGAGAGAGACGGCGATACTTAAAGGTAAGCGACGCATACTTGTGAGCGCGCAAAATTAACAATTAAAAAATAGGTAAAAAACAATGAAATTTTCTTCAATCTCTATTAAGAATATTATTAAATATTGCATAAAGAATAAAATATATAGCTATATATTTTTCATAGGTCAAAAGTACCCAAATTTGAGATATTTCGAACCTTTAAAAATTCATATCTCGAAAAATATTAACCTTATCGCGAAAAGTCACAGGACCTTTTTTATTTGTATTTTAATAAAGAATATTAAAAAAAATTGTCCAGTTGAAAAATTATATTTCTTTGCAATTGTTTAAACAATTTCGGTTTAAACAATATGGTATGGAGTTGCCCCATGGCACCATGCATTTATATCATCAGTAGGACAATTTGAAGAGGATCGCATAAAAAATTGAGGTGGAATAGTTTTCGGTACTCATGCGCCGATTACTCCTGGTATATAATGGTTGTACACCATAACAACTTGCTAAAAAAATAGAAAGAAGCTAAGGAACAATGAATACTGCAGTTATCTAATAAAAAGGTTAAAAGAATATCTTTTATATGTACTTAATTATGTATCTAATCCACCTTAATTGTGTATTTGAAACCCAAAGTTAAGAGAATGATTTTATGTTCAGATCAGAGATAGTCCGCTTAGCATGGACTCCAAAAATTGCTAAATTTTTTAAGAGGTTAGGTAACATTGGTTACATTTTCAAGACTTGATTATATTACATTTAGTATTATTGTACAAATTTTAGTACTAATAGTTTTTAAAGTTGGTTCTTTTTTTTTGTTAAAAAAAATTATTTAGTAAAATAATATCTTTGTTCGTTGAATATTAAAAAACTTAAGACGATCCAGTAACCATATTAGGTTGGAAGAACATAAGTTAATATTTCATCATCATCATCATCATTTCAGCCTGTTTGAGTCCACTGCTGAACATAGGCCTCCCCCACAGACTGCCATGCCATATAAAGTAAATATTAATTGCTTTTCTTGTGGCCTTCCTAGGATGTGGACCCCTCAGAACCCTGGTGTTATACCACTGGGCACTGATAATTTATTTGCAGGATATACATATAATTGATATTAATTACACCTGTAAATATAAATATCAATATTATGCAATTACTTTTACCATCTTTAAAATATAGAGTTGGAACTGTATTTCTTGTAAACCGGTGGCTTGGTGATTTATAATAATTCTCAAAATGTTTATTGTGACATCTTAGTTGATTTAAAATGTACAATTTTCCTTTTTATTTGGTCTTATTGTTTAACATCTCTTGCTTTTCAGACAACAAATCTTTCCATTTACAATCAGGCTTAGGAAAATGATGTAATGGACCTAAAATTAAACCATTCAAATTAAAACTCTACTATTGAAGTTTTTAATACATAAAAAAATCCTTGACATTCAATGTGATAAAAACACAAATTATAAGGCTAGTCACTTATATCTATACATTAAGCTAGGATGTTGTAATTTTTATTGTAGGTTCCTACTAATATATTGTAGAATTATTGATTAAATTACATTGAAAAAGAAATTTTATACCACAAACTATTTTACATAGGGTATTAAGTATGTCTGGAATGTTCAGTGAGCAAAGAATACTTCATAGTATTTATTTTATATATTATGTATATGTATATATTTTGTTCCTCTGTAAGGAAAGAGGAATATGGAAATGAGCATATTATAAATTTGCTCTAAGTCTTATAATTTAAGCTGAGTAATATTTCCATATTATTAATAATTTCCTATTTGCTAACAGATAAACTATCCCCATGAAGAAGTACAATAGTACTATTCTCATTTAATATTAATATTTTAATAATATTGTTATGGAAACTGGCACCTGGTGAACATATATTATATACATGTTTGGATAATTGTATACATTGTTTACATGTTTGGATAATAAAGAACCAAAACCTTGCCCTATATTATCTGATACAATTATTACTTTATTGTTGGACATTGGACAATTTGACAACTGACAAATTTAATTTATTTTCAGATCTATAATTAGATGGCTGATTGTGTTTGTTATGTATGACCAAGTCACTGCTCTTGTCTGCAGATATATTCTGAATTTTTAATTTGTTCAGCAACAAGTAATGTTTCACTAGTACTGACACTAGAAGATCTTTAGGAGATATACTCTTTAATGCGCAATTGCAGACTTAATATATTGTACCATAAGCATTTTGCTGTTGCGTTTTATAGTAAAATAATATTTTTATTCATTGTACATTAAAAACTTCAGACAATCCTGTAACCATATTAGGTTGGAAATGGTAATAAAACAAACTGTATTCTATTGTTAATATTACTTACCTCCATCTTCACACCCGAAATAAAAGTTCGAGTATGGGTTTTTCTGTATCTTCTCCATCAGTACAGCATCAAAACGTAGTCTTAAAATAAAACGTAATTAGTCATGTCTACTAAACGAAGCCGGGGTTTATCGTTATGAATCAATGTCCGTAGGAAATAGAAAGTTCACAGTAAAAGTAGTATTATCAAGATCTAGAAAACACGCCAAATCATTAGGAAAAAAGGGAAATGTAAATATCAAAGTCAAGACAGAAAATGCTCGCACCAGTAAAATAATACGCAATAAAAGTAAAAAATTGAAAAACTTCGACGGCGACGGTTGACAACAGTGTTACAGTGTTGCAGTTATTAAATCTTGGAACAGTAAATTATTATATAATTTTGTAAACGAGTGCTTATAAAATTATATAATCGTTTAGCCGTAATTGTTCCTAAGTAAATATACTTGTATTTTTGAAAGTATTTATACAGTGTATTTATCATTAATTTTGTTAAAAAATGGTGAAACATGACACTAAGATAAAGTAGCGACATCTAGTTAGGATTTGCGGTTCTATGCGACTAAGTTAAAACACCCTGAACAATAGACAGCTCCACTTTCCATACAAAATATTTTTACCAGCTCGAAGTATGGCACTGTCACCCCCCTGCTGTCAATTGACAGGAGATACGCTGTGTTGAATTTAGCATTTATTCGATGTATTACTATTTTTTTGTCTTTTGTATCTCATCTCATTGTAATGAATAAGATAATGCTTAGAAGGTTATAATCGGGTTAGCGAAACCGTCAAAATATCCGAACATTATAGTAAAAGTAAAGTAAAATATACTTTATTGTACACCAAGAAACATTACAGTATTTATAATTTAAAAAAAAAAACGGGTACAACAGGAATGAATTTTCATACATGAAATATATTTATAAAATGCGTTGCTGTGTCCCAAATTGTAAGAATGATTCTCGACATATTTCTAAGTCGCAAGGAATTACTTTTCATGTGTAAGTTACGTCTGTATCATGAAATAAAAAATAAGTTTTGATCAAGTTAAGAAGTTAACGTGCATTCAGTTTCTCGTATATTAAAATACATAAACCACTAGTCGTTCCAATGATAGTTCAAATGCTACACACTACTCTCTGAAACTCCTTGTTTTGTTTTGTTGATAATTATAATAATTGTAGCATTTTAATTATTTACCCAATTTTATACGAGGGGTTTTAAGCATCAGTTCCTCTAAAATCTATCCCATTGTCAGCCCCTATTATAAAAACATTATAAATTTTCAATGTATTTTTATCTCTATAATAAACTGTAGTCTCAACAAACAGCGCTTTACCTTAACTCGGATCAGTATAAAGTAAAAACACATATTATTTAACATTGGAAAGTGCATTACGGTCTGAAAAGTGTAAGATAACATGTTTATTGTAATTTTCATTTACTTTGCACTTTTCAGATTCCCCACGGAGCCATCGCTCCGGATATCCTGGCTCAAAGCTCTGGGCAAAGAGTCCTGGCAGCCGAAGGAGAGGAGTGCCGTGTGCTCCGAGCACTTTCACTGGGACGACCTGTATGAAACTAAGAGCGGACTGAGGAAGGTCAGGTCAGGTGCAGTGCCTGTAATGTTCAAGGTTAGTTAACTTTTTCGGGAGTATGAGTATTTACCTGTTATTTGCACTGGAATAAATATATTCAAAATAGTCAATTTTGAACACTGTATTAGATGTGTGTTGACCTAGCCTATAAGCTGACTACATACTAAATTTTATTAGAGCTAATTCAGGTGTTTAAAAAATGTATACTTATTGCATTAAAGCTTATTTATTAAATTATAGCTTCAATTATTAGCCTGCATGTTTAATTACTAGGATTAATTAACAACGCAATAAATTTCTAATAATTTTGACGTAAGCCTTTTACTGTATCCATTTTGTTTTATTAAATTCTAGGCATAAATAATGTTATATAGAAAATAATAAATATTTAAAATCACTTGTAATTAATTAAATACATTCATTGGAATTTATCTCAAAGTGGCAACTCATTTATTTTACGAAACGCGAAAGTATTATACTTCCACTTTACGCCGCATTTATGAATGACTACCGCATTGTTTTTTAGGGATTGGAATGGCAATTTTTATGAAAAAATAAGTTTGTTTTATTTCAATAAACAATTATATTACCGAGTCTGAACCTTCTCTGTGAATTTGGGCTCCTTTAGAAAAGCCACCCTGTATATACAGCGTGTCGCTACTAACGCCACCATAAATAAATCACATTTAGAGGATAACTTATTAAAATTGTATTAATCATTTACATTCCTTAAACATCAATATGGTAACGTTGCATGCCCCTCAATAGTTGTAAAAGTAAGCCTTGTATTCCCCTACAAATGTCCTAGATTTCATATTACCAAACTATTTTACATTCCCCCATATCGCACCAATTTAGGACTACATAAGTCATTTTCAAGAATTTTGTCTGAATACAACTATTTGTCTGTATCAAACACCGAGCTGGATATTTTTAACGATTCACTTAACGTTTTTAAAAAGAAATTGTTTTCATTATTAGCATGTTAGATTTCACATATCAATTTACTAATCTATAAATAAAAAATAAATATATAAATAAAAAATAAATAATTAAATAAATAAATGAACTTATTAAAATCTTTTTTAATTATTTCAGGAGGAAAATATTGAAGCTTCAACCAGTTTGAAGGTAGCTATTTCATTTTTTACATGTAGTTCATGCGCTGCCGCCAAACATATGATTAAAAAAAATTATTTGTAAGGGTACTAGGTTATAAACATATTAAAATGCTAGCTGCTGCCTGCGACTACGTCTGCGTAGAATAGGCTGCAGGCGTAACATCCAGATAGAAAGACAAATACATGAAATATGTAAATAAATTATAGCTTATGTTTTATTCTGATGTATAAGCTATAATATTGTAAGTTTTATTAAAATCCATTCGGTAGTATTTGTGTGAAAGAAAACAAACATCCATCCATACATACAAACTTTCGCGTTTATAAAATTGAAATAGTGCATACTAGTTGCATTTAAACTGAAATTGCTAAGTCACAACTTCTTCTCTTCTCAGTATTTGAATTAATAATATTTATGATTGCATAAATTGCTCATGATTTTTATTTCACCATGTATAAACATCCAAACAGAAAAACACTAAATATACCGTTAGTATTCCATGATTGGAAAAACTTATTACTTCTGAGGTCTTAGAAATTGTTTTATTGACAAAATAAATGCCATAACCCATCAAATTTTTAACTATACTTTTGGACATAGATATATATGCTATCCAAGTTTCATTTACCTCATTTCACGGCTGTTGTGGTGACAGTCTGACTCAGGCCATACAACAGGTACTAAGGAAAGACCTAAAGTAACAAAGTACCAGCCTATACATGTCCCACTGCTGGACAAAGGCCTCCTCTATACAGAGGGTATCAGATCAGGGTATAGTCAGGTCATAGTCCACCACGCGGCCCCACTGCGGATTGGCGGACTTCACATTTCTTCGAAATATTTTTTTTGTTATTATTTAAAAAAAAAATATGCAGGTTTTCTCAAGATGTTTTCCTTCACCGCGGAGCACGTGATAAGTCAGCACTTAAAGTTAAAAACTTCATTGGTGCCGGCACCGGGGATCGAACTCAGGTTGCTCGAGTATATTGAATTAAAGGCGAGCGCCCGGACACTGAGATATCACGGCTTTTGTAGATGTAGATATTGTAGATGTGATAGGTAATTAAACATTATTTCTTTCATTGCCAGGTTTGCAGAATATGTCTTGACATGAACTGCAAGCTGATCCCCATCAGGAAGTACAGGCTGGAGTCGGCCTACGAGCTTTTAACCGGATTAAGGGTGAGAAATGCCCAGCAATAGCCAGTGCAAATTGCCATGAAATCGGTCATGATATATATATTTTTTCACACTTTATATTGAAAACGGTTATGATATACATATTTTGTTTCATGCTTTATGTAATATTGAAGTATCTTTTTGTGAATTTTCTAATAAGAGTCACACTAATAAACATTTTGTATAGAACATAATAATATGCAATATGATAGTATATTGTTTAACTGTGGACGTGGTAGAACCAAGCAACAGTCTTCTCTGTTGCATGAATGGGCAGGTCTGTCCAGGTCGGTACCACGACCTCACAGAAGACCGGTGCTAAGTTGAAGTGTTCTACTTCTGCGTTTCGTCTGTTGAGTGAGGTAGCCGGGGGCCATTTTATTAAAAGGTCTGCATCAGCAACCCTACAGGTGTTGCAACTCCATGGGCAGTGGTTATCGCTTAACATCAGGTGAACCGCTGGATAAAAAGGTTTTGGTGACTCCGTGGCGCAGTTGTCAAGGTATTGGCTTCGGCGTCGGGGGTCGTGGGTTCGATCCCCACACGGGACAACTATTTGTGTGACCCACAGATAGTTATTTCGCATCTGGGTGTTTTTCCACTTGAAATTCATGTTTGTGAAACGTCCTCACAGCACAGGGTAATGTTATCCTAAAGTAAAAGTAATTTTATTTGTTAAAAAGAAAAAGACATGTGTGTGTGTGTTTTTAATTGCATGCAAATAATTAATTACAATAAAATAATAAAAAGACTGGACAAAGATATATATAATAATATGAAAGCGCCATCTACATTCTTTATTGAGAACTGTAACGTTCGAATGTGATTCAGAATATGCTGCCATCTATAAAAATTAGCGGGCAGCTTCGAAGGTGTTACTTTTGTGTTACATTGATGCGCGCGCATCTTAAAGTTTCACCCTCACAATTTTCTAAGCACAATAGATACATAGAACACTTAAAAATAATACTACTAAATAATGTTACTACACATTATGTAAAATAATATTAGAAAAAACTTGAAATAAACGTAAAACATAACAAAAAAAAATAATAACAATAAGTGAAGGTAAGGTCTGTGTAGCAGCACAAGACCGTGAAACGGACGGGACTCGGTAAAAGTCGAGATACAGTAGCTAAGATTTATTCTCATCCGATTCCGACACCGGTTTTCAGTCCGCCCGAGAGAAGTGTAAGGATGTAAAGAAGTATGACTTCAGAAACGTTTCGTCCGCTTCCAGCTGTGCGAGGAGGCCGCCCTGCCGCAGAGACTGTGCTGCGAGTGTGCGCAGAGGTTGATCTCCTGCGACCGCCTGCGCGATAGGAGCCTGCGCGCCCACTCGCTGATGATGCAGATACTGCGCAGTCAGGACACGGTGGGCTGGCAGCCGGGCAGTTTTAAACGTTCCATTTGCGGTGCCAATCTCAGCACTTGGACTGAACATATAGGGCCACGCAGCAGCCTCGGCCGTTGCACGGATGGGCAGGCCCGTCCGGGTAAGTTCGACCTCACAGAAGACCGGGGTCAAGTGGAAGTGTAATACTTTCGCGTTTCGTATGGTGAGTGAGGTGGCCGGAGCCCAATTTTCAAAAGGTTGTCAACGAACAACAAAACCATGAATTCATTCAAGTTAAATTTTTTTTCTCCACATCCCTCTCTCACACGCACAAACGCACGCGCACACGCCACACACACGCACGCACACACACACACACACACACACACACACACACACACACACACACACACACACACACACACACACACACACACACACACACACACACACACGCACGCACGCACGCACGCACACACACACACACACACACACACTTACTGTGTTTATGTCTTTTATGTGTTTTTTTTTCGTTTATGTACCAAATAAATATTTTTCTTTCTTTCATATCTCATTTTGACTATTCATATCTGCGCCAACATTGAGAATAAGTAGATCAACTCCTTCTAATCCACATAGTATCCCAATAGATCGCCCCAAATATATTATAATATATGTATATAAATATATATGTTTATGTTAATGTGTGTAAATATATAAGTTGTTTGTATGTACTTGGCATATATTATGTAATAGCTTTTGGCCTGCGGCACCGCCCACGTTGAAGCCCTTAAATAAATATCTTTTTTTTTAATAAAAATAATCCTATGTCCTTTTTAATACCTGTACGAATATTTGTACAAAGTTATATGATAATCGTTTAAGTAGATTTGGCGTGAAAGCGTAACAAACAAACTTACATTCACGTTCATAATATCACGTAAATAGATATAAATATTGCACCATCTACTTAGTTAACTTTTCCTTTACCCAATTTGTGCATTTCATAAACTTGTCTATTGTTAGTTTTGCGTAACCTTTTATTTGTGGTGGAGAATAAAAATATTAGTTCACTCATTCATTCATTCACTCTTACATTCATTCACTCATACATTCATTCACTCATACATTCATTCACCCATACATTCATTCACTCATACATTCATTCATTCACATTCAACAAGGGGGAAAACTCGACAGATCACGGCGCGGAGCATCCAAGCGATCGACCGCACGGCCAACCGTCTCGTGTCGAACTTGACGACGAAACACTACGAGGCCGATCACTGCGACCTCAGCCTGCAGTACGCAGAACCGCCCCAGGAAATGGCCGACCAGGCGACAGCCCCACCGCCTGTGGACCTGGTGACGGTCTTCCCCCAAGCGGACCTCGAGGCGGTGGTGAAGGAGGAGGACTCCAATGAAATATACCTCAGCGAGGGCGAAACGCCGATAGAACCCGACGATGGGCACCGAGGGGATCTCTCAGATGACAGCGCACCCCCAGAGGGGCGGCGAACGCGCGCGAAGAAGCACAGAGCGGCGAAGAAGAATAGAGCGGCGAAGAGGAGGGCGGTGGAGAAGAAGCAGCCGGCCGAGCCGAAGGTCGACAGGAGACGGAAGCCGTTCCTGAACGACGACCTCAACGAGACTCTGTTCACGATAACGGACCTCACCCACGAGGAGCAGGTAGCAGAGATACAGAAGAGGCGCGAGTCCTCAAACTACAAGAACTCCGTTTTCAAGTGCACTGCCTGCTTCAAGGGTTTCCTCGACGAGGACGCCTACAACGGCCATATGACCAGGCACACGGATGTGAGTACGGAACACTGCGGTATACAGCGTGTCCCAAATTCAAAGTAGTAGGGATAATGGAACATCCTATGCGGTTTTGTGTAAAGCATATATTATCGAGCCTTATACAGCATGGCGTTACAACCGCGACAATAAATGCTTCACTGACATTTCTAACGCTACTTGCAATTATCATAAAAAATGTAAACGTTAAAAAAATTCATAATTAAAAATAAAATTCCAAACAAACTAATTAAATAAAACAGAAACAAAATTTGTAACATCCTATACAACTAAAACTGACTGATTCATACTGAGACTTTTTAATTCGTTCCCACAACGTCGCATTACAAATCTCTCTTTCTAACAGTGTGTTTTATCTCTTTTAAATTTATTCAACAAATTCATATGCCTTGTGACCTTTACAAATGAACTTTACTTTCGTGTTCGAAAATTATTTGTTTTAAAAATTTTAATAACTCGGTAAATATTGATGTTTAACACAATTTTGAAATTTTACCCTCTACAGCGTGTCTTTACAATCGCGAAAATAAAAGAACACACATATAGGGGATAACTTTATAAAATTGTATTAAACATTTATTCTTTAAACATCAGTATTTACCGAGTTATTAAATTTTCCAAAACAAACACCCTTACGTATAAAACTGTAACGTAAAGTTCATTTGTAAAGGTCAGAAAGCATATGAATGGGTTGAATGGATTTAAAAGAGACAAAACATACTGTTAGAAGGAGAGGCTTGTAATGCGACGCTGTGGCGCGATTGTACAGGATGTTACAAATTTTGTTTCTTTTTTACTTATTTGGTTTGTTTGAGAAATATTTTTTTTTTTAATTATGGATTTTGTTTAATGTTAATATTTTTTTATGATTATTGGCAAGTAGCGTTAGACGTGTGTTCATTTATTGTCGCGATGGTAACGACACGCTGTATATGTGTGTTGATTTATGGTCGCGTTAGTAGAGCCACGTTGTATAAGGAACAGCCTATTGCGATAGTGGCTATGCTGCCAAGTTACAATTCTTTGCCAGAAGGATTTCTTTTAAAAGTCTGATGATAAAATTCATACTAGTATTTTTAAAATCTACATTTGCTTGATTGACAACTAATCGTGGTCTTCATAAGAAAATTCGATACAGAATCGCGTCGTGCCTCTAACTGGTGATTGTTAGACACTCATCATCCTCGTGATTTAATACTCCACTGTAGAAAGTCAGCTTCTACTTTGGCAAGTAGCCGCTCATTAATTTAATTCATTATACTCGTGCGACCTGATTTCAAATCCTGATGCCAGCACCAATGAAATTCTTAATTTTAAGTGCATACTTATCACATGATAACATCGTGATGAAACCTGCATATTTTCAAAAAGTAATAAAAATCGAAGGTCAAGTCTGACAATTCGCAGTGGGGTCGCGTGGTCTGTGATGCCTTAATACCCTGCGCTGAGGAGGCCTTTGCCCAGCCGTGGGACACGTATAGGCTGACCTATTTACTTCAGCTTTCGATTAAACATTCCACACTGAATATTCCTTTAGTTTGGCTATAGACTCCGGTATTAGGAAGTATCGTGTGTGTCGTGATGATATTTTAATGGAGTAAGACTGCTTCTAGCAATGCGGCGAACACGAGTGCGGTATATGCAAGACCCACTTCAAGCATCCGCACGCTCTCAGGAAACACGTGACCGCCCACCACACGCAGCGGTTCAGCTGCAACCAGTGCCCCTACGTCACCACGCATCGGTGAGATCTACCCCCGCATCACGAGCGTTGACCCTCCCAATCACCCCAAAACCACCCCCGGCCCCTGTCTTATAAGTAATAATACAAAGACTACCCCTGGCTGCCGTCTCATCAGCAATGACCCTCAAAACTACTCTTGGCTGCCTTCTCATCAGCATTGATTCTCCCAATGACCCCAAAACCACCCCCGGCTGCTGTCTCAACAGCATTGACCCCAAAACAGCACCTGGCCGCCGTCTCATCAGCATTGACCCTCCCAGTGACCCCAAAACCACCCCCGGCCCATTCAGCATCAGCATTGACCCTCCCAATGACCCCAAAACTACCCCCGGCCGCTGGCTCATCAGCATTTACTCTCTCAACGACCCCAAAACTACCCCCGGCCGCTGGCTCATCAGCATTTACTCTTCAACGACCCCAAAACTACCCCCGGCCGCTGGCTCATCAGCATTTACTCTCTCAACGACCCCAAAACTACCCCCGACCGATGCCTGTGACCCTTTTTTATATCTGAGGGATATCTTATAAAAGATACCCCGTCATTTCTCACATGACACGGCTATGTGGGGTTCTTGCCCACTGAAACTTAATCGTAAAATCGTTGGTCACTATTTGCCTATTTACGTTTGGAGGGACTCCTGGATCTCCTACGGAACGCCCTGGTGCTCCTCGGTGCAATGCGTGAGCACGCCTCTGTGAAGGATAGACCTTCCCCGATTCCCTCGCCATCTTGCAGCAGCTCGAGGCCACTTGATACTGCGTCCAGTCCGTGTCCCCTTTTAGTCGCCATTTACGACAGGCAGGGGATATCTTAGCCCTATTCTATCAGCCCGAGACTACAGGGCTGTCACCATTGACCCTGTTAACCATATCCCAGGCCGATGCCTCATCAGCCCCAACCCTGTCAAACCCTGTCATGCCTCCCAGACTATTCCACGTAGCGATTCATTCACAGTCCCTTGTCAATCCTTCTTCTCCATTTACCCTGCAAAATACCTAACCTTAGGCCCTAAAAGCTCCCTAGACTATTTCACTTGTATATTCATTAACAGCCCCCTGTCAATCGTTCTCGCTTATAAATCTTTTGTACTGTGGTAGGGCCACGCAACACTGTTCGCTGTTGCACGGATGGGCAGGTCCGTCCGGGGAAGTACCACGACCTCACAGAAGTCTGGCGTGATGTGAAAATGTTACACCTCTGCGTTTCATCTGGTGGGTGAGGTGGCCGGGGCCCAATTTATTAAGAGGTGGAAACGGTGTAGTAAATGTCCGTGGGCGGCAGTTATCACGTAACGATGACCTTGTACAGCCTTGTACAGGTCGATGGAAATATTAAATATCAATTGTGCTGCAGCCGACATATCAACGCTTTTCCGAAATGTCTGACGTAACCGATAGATATTGTTCTAAAGAGGCCGTAGAAACTGGCTAGCGCGCGCCGTCTTTGTCCACCATTGAGACACTCCAGTGTGTGCGAGCGAGATGGGAATATTGATGGAAACGTTCGTGCGTTAGGCAGACGGCGCGACTACACGAGAGGTGGCACAAAGGCACCAAGTACCAGTGTCCGCATTGCCAGGACGAGTTCGTGTGAGTACGGCCTTACATTTTTTATTGCCAGCGATTGAATTGATAAAACACCAGTGTCTCTGCTCAGTCTACCAGATTAACTGTGGCGGGGCCACGCAACCGTCTTCACTGTTGCACGAATGGGCAGGTCCGTCCGGATGATTATCACAACCTCACAGAAGTCCGGTGTAAAGTAGAAATGTTACACTTCGGCATTTCGTCTGGTGAGTGAGGTAGCCGGGGCCCACTTTATCTAAAGGTGGCAACGCATTTTCAACCCTACGGTTGTTGCAAATGTCCACGGGCGGCGGTTATCACTTAGCATCAGGTGAACCGCCGGCTCGTTTGTCACTTTTTCACATAAAAAAGAAGCTAAAGGTTGGCAACGTAACCCTATCGTGGAAGTCCACGGAGATGGACTGCCATCGCCATCGGGTGCACTTGCCCCCCCTCCGGCTTCTCTCCGAATTGCAAATGTTGCAGCAAGTTCACCACGTACATGGGCCACATACGGATCAAGCACCCGTCGGACTTCGTCTGCGAGCTGTGCGGCTACTCGTTCGTGAGCGAGAAAGGGATAGAGCTACACAAGAAGCTGAAACACCGCCTCGAGAGCGACAAGGTGCGCAATACGTTTGTGACCTCTTAATTTAGTGCATACGAATAAAGATCTATGTTGACAGTGCCTGTTTTCCTTTTCGTGGTCGAGATTAGTTTTTAGGGTTCCGTACCCAAAGGGTAAAACGGGACCCTATTACTAAGACTCCGCTGTCTGTCTTTCACTCTTCATTCTCTGTCAGTCTGCTGCCATCCTTCGACTCGAGCGGCCGCCTCATAACCTTTTGCTGATCGCGGTAAATTAGAAGAGAAACAGATTCGAATCTTAGCAGCGCTAGGAAAATTTTTGACAATTTCGCTATTTAACTCATTAAGTTTGATTTTGTGTGAAAATTAGCACTTAAATTAAAAAATGCCAAAACAAATTAGTAAAGGCATTCTCGCTGAAATATTCACAGTAAAATGTTGTTTGAAAGTGTCATCACTAAATTACATATACAGTAGTTGTCGAGATTCATCTCGAGTATATCGACCGCTCACTCGGGCCGAGCGTCTGGGCGTGAGATTTCAGCGCCTCGAGCATATCGGCCGCTTCGCTTAAACGGCCCGAGGGGCTGCCTCGAGCGTTTCGGCACCGCTCAGTCGGGCCGAGCGTCTGGGCGCGGCACCCGGCACGCTCAGGCTGGGATTCGAATCGGCAAAAAGCTCACGTTTACGTTGGAAAGTATATAACAATGGATGCGCCAAGCATTGCTTCAAATGCTAAAACACAATGTAGATAAAGGACGTTAAAGATTTTCGTCGCTGTGGCTATCAGCCGTTTAGCTCAGTGGCTACAGCGTCAGGCCGCGAATGCCGAAGACGTGGGTTCGATTCCCACAGCGGCGACAATCTTTTGGCACTTTTCAGGTGCCGGAAGACGGGCCCTACTGCAGCCTCTGCAGCGTCAGATTCGTCTCGACGGAGGCGTACAGGCGGCACTTGCACGTCTCCGCGAGGCACAGCGCCGCCGACGGGTGGGTTTGCTTGCATCTTCAGCCGACTACGAAAAGGGGGGTCCTCGGCTTTTAGGGTTCCGTGCCCGAAGGGTGGAATAAATAATAAATAAATAAATATTTCGGACACGTTTCTTACACAACATTCTCTAGTCCCGAACTAAGCAACGCTTGTACTATGGGTACTAGAAAACTGATGGTTTCCTCAAGATGTTTTCCTTTACCGCTGAGCATGTGTTAAGTCAGCATAACAATTCGGGTTGTTCGAGTATAAATATAATAAATAGATATAAATATTTTAGGACACATTTTTACACAACATTTTCTAGTCCCAAACTAAGCAACGCTTGTACTATGGGTACTAGAAAACTGATAAACATACTTAAACATACTTTTCTTTTGTAAATAAATACATGTTATACATATAGAAACACCCGGACACTGGAAAAACACCATGTTCATCACACAATATTTTTCCAGTAGTGGGGATCGAACCCACACCCTCTGGCGCAGGAGGCAGGGTCACTACTCCCCGCGCCAATTGGGTCGTCAAAATGGGACCCTATTACTAAAACTCCGCTGTCTGTCTGTCTGTTCGATTGTCACTTAGCTATATCTCATGAACCGTGATAGTTACACAGTTGAAATTTACACAGATAAATTAATTCTGTGGACGCTATAACAACAAATACTAAAAATAGAATAAAAATATATTTAAGTGGGGCTCCCATACAACAGACACGATTTTTTTTGCTGTTTCATAGATAAATGTACGTTTCATAGATAATTTTTTTTATCAATTTGTTTTATTATGTTATATTGTTTTGATTCGTCTCAGTTGTGATAGTGACTTATAGTATGGTATTTAATTATCGTGTTTGCGACAAAAATAATATCGTTAACGTAATTATTATTACAGCGAATCGAAGGATCCCGACAAACCCAAAAAGGGAAGGAAGTCGAGAGATGTGAAAGACAGAGAGAAGAGAACGATGGACAAGAGTAGAGATTCGAGTGAGAAAAGGAAGTTGTATCCTAGTCAACTCAGAAAAGTGGAGGGGCCCATACCTTGTGAGCAGGTGAGGATTTTTTTTTTTACATTGTATTTTGTACCTTTTCTTATGTGAGAATGAGCCGTGATAGCTCAGTGTCCGGGCGCTCGCCTTTAATTCAATATACTCGAGCAACCTGAGTTCGATCCCCGGTGCCGGCCCCAATGAGGTTTTTAACTTTAAGTGCTGACTGACTTATCACGTGTTCCGCGGTGAAGGAAAACATCGTGAGGAAACCTGCATATTTTCGAAATAATAACAAAAAAATATTTCGAAGATATGTGAAGTCCGCCAATCCGCAGTGGGGCCGCGTGGTGGACTATGCCCTGATACCCTCTGTATAGAGGAGGCCTTTGCCCAGCAGTGGGACATGTATAGGCTGTTACTTTACTTTACTGTACTTTATTTTATGTGAGAAGGTGACATGCGGTTCACCTGATGTTACATGATAACCGCCGCCCATCGACTTTTAGTGTTGGCACCTTTTAATAAAATGGGCCCCGGATACCTCACTCACCAGACGAAACGCAGAAATATAACACTTCGCGCCGGTCTTCTGTGAGGTCGTGGTACTTACCCGAACGAGACTGCCCATTTGTGCAACAGCCGAGGCTGCTGCGTGGCCCTACCATATACTTATTTGATGAGCTGAATCATATCCGTTTGTTTTATCTACATATGTTACTTATATTACACATATATTTGTAGAATAGCTACACCAGCCGTTAACCGCGGCTTCGCCCGCGCGGTCAAAGGGAATTAAAAATGACTTTTTTAATTATACACCAGAATAGCTCCCAGATGGCAGAATTTTTACTTACTTCACACTTTTTATCTTTATAAATTACTAGCTGCTGCCCGCGACTACGTCTGCGTAGAATAGGCTGAAAGAGTAACATTCAGACAGAAAGACAGATATACATAAAAATATGTATATAAATTATAGCCTATGTGTTATTCTGATGTATAAGCTATATTATTGTAAGGTTTCATTAAAATCCATTCAGTAGTATTTGCGTGAAAGAGTGACAAACATCCATATATCAAACTTCCGTAAGGATATATATATATATAGAGAATGGTACTTCATTTATCTACGTTTCCAGTGCGGTCTGCAACTGGAGGACTCTAGGGCGTACCACGGCCACTTCAGGCGAATGCACCCGGACAAGAATCGAACCAACTACCCCTCGATGAAGTCGCCGTGCATGTGCGAGCTGTGCGGCCGGATGTTCCAGGTTCGATAATTGCTCTTGAAGTTATACTTATTTGGCGCGTTAGGGAGAAACGATGAGAGTAAATTTTTACGATGCGCGCGCACACCGTCACGAAAAACCGACACCCTGAAGTTGGCTAGACATCTACGTATGCTTGCGTGAGAACTGACAACGTATGTATTCACGATAATTATTTTGTGATATTTAAATAAACTTTATTTAACTAGATAATGCGTTATAATAAAACTTTCAATGTATTAAATATCTTTTTTATATTGTTAGTATCGTTGTTTCTACAAACGTAGAATAAGGCGAGAGATAAAATTTTTCAAAAGATTTTTATCTTGTTACGCCAAAGAACTAAAGTATAACTTCTAACGCGTGGACATAATTACACACACTCTTTTTTAATATGCATATCGTGATAAACGTAATAATGTGACTATGGAACAAATATGTCCCTATGACGACTCCCTGCGGAACACCTTGGTTCAATTAAATTTTAAGCCGACTTCAAAAAAGGAGGTGTTTCTCAATTCGACTGTATATTTTTTATGTTTGTTACATCAGAACATTCAATTGAGAGAATCGATTTTGATGATTATTTTTTTATGTCAAAGCTAAGTGCTTCCCATGTGGTCCCATATTAATTTTATTGGCATTGGATCTTGGGCTCCGGAGATAGTTATGGAAATCCTGAAAATAATTATAAAATCAATACAGAGAGCGATATATGAAGTCGGTTTGGTCTTACAATGATTTGTAGTATGTGTAATTATAAGTATTTCTTTGAAGTTATGTTTCATACTTAAGAAATTTGTCTGTGCGAAAGCGTTTACCTAAGGATTGATTGTTAAATAAATAATAATGCTAAGTAGAAACGTCTCAACGACATATTTGATGCTAAAATGTGCTATTGTATATTCAATGTTTCGCATGCAAGTATCCCGTATAAAATTAAAACTGTTTCTTATACCACTGGGTGCGTACGAAGCTTTAAAGCGAGCGTAGAACTCTTCAAAGGCATCCGTTGCCAGAAAACCACCTGGCGTCTCAAAATAAGGGTCTGGCGAACAGATGGCTAACGTTCCCCCCCTTTCAGAGCCACGCTCTGCTCTACATTATTATCGGTGGTAGGGCCACGCAGCAGCCACGGCTGTTGCACGGACGAACAGAGGACTAGCCTCCCCCTCCCCCTTGTTCAGAGCCACGCTCTGCTCAATGTAAGGTGTCCGGCGAACAGAGGACTAACCTCCCCCTCCCCCCTCTTCAGAGCCACGCTCTGCTCAATGTAAGGTGTCTGGCGAACAGAGGACTAACCTCCCCCCCCCCCCCCCCTGCAGAGCCACGCGCTGCTGAAGGACCACCGCTGGGTGCACACGGGCGAGCGTCCGTTCGCGTGCGACTTGTGCGGCAAGGCGTTCCGCATGCGCCAGCGGCTCGTCGCCCACCGCAGGGTGCACGCGCAGCGCAGGGCCACCTACGGCTGCGCGCTCTGCGGCAAGCACTTCTCCACCAACAGCAACCGCCAGCGGCACATGTTTGTGAGTCCCGCCGCGTACGCACGCACGCACACTAGCGAACTATTAAACCACACACTCACTCCCCAACGCTTCACCAACAGCAACCGCAGGGGCACATGTTTGTGAGTCCCGCCGCGTACGCATACACGCACACTAGCGAACTAGTAAACCACATACTCGCTCCCCAACGCTTCACCAACAGCAACCGCCAGCGGCACATGTTTGTGAGTCCCCCCCACATACGCATACATGCACACTAGCGAACTATTAAACCACATACTCACTCCCCAACGCTTCACCAACAGCAACCGCCAGCGGCATATGTTTGTGAGTCCCCTTTCTCCACACACGCACACTTGCGCACCGCATACTCCCTTTTTAACAGCAACCGCCAGCGGTACATGTTTGTACCAGGCTTATCCCCCTCACACATACACGAACGGACTTCAATTTCCGCACACTAACAGCGCAGACTGTCCGTATACTAACTTCCCATCACTTCTCCACTGACGACAAACGCTAGCGGCACACGTTTGGGAGACCGTTCCCATACATACTACCTCTCACCACTTCTCGATAGTTATCCTCCATAAATTCTCCTATACAAATTCTGAAAAAGGTTGAGCAATGTCCCATTGAGAGAAACATTACTAAACAACTTTAACTCTGCTAAGGCAACGCACTCATCACCTCACAGTCTACCGGCGTGAAGTCGAGGTCTTATACTTCTGCGTTTCTTTCTTCTGCGTTGTGAGCGAGATGACCGGTAGCCGGGACATCGTCATAGACGGCCATAGGCAATTTATCAAATAGTGGCAACGCATCCGCCACCTCACTTTTTTTTTTTTATGCGAAAATTTGTCAAACGCGCAGATGGTTCACCTGATGTTAATTGAACACCGCCGCCCATGGACACCTGTCACACCCAAGCGTTACAGATGCGTTGACAACTTTTTGAAAATTGGGCACCGGCTCCTCACTCACCAGACGAAACGCGAAAGTATTTGTCATATTTCCACTTTACGCTGGTCTTTCTTTACCTCACGTGTGTTGCAAGTGCACACAGAAAAATAAACACCCACCAAGCCGCGTGAAGATCTGGCTCCGCTCCAACCCCAACTCGACCTGGTCTCCAGATCCACACGGGGCTGAAGCCGTTCGCCTGCGAGATGTGCGGCAAGTGCTTCAAGCACGCGAGCGAGAAACGCGCCCACGTGGCGTACGTGCACCTCAAGAAGCCCTGGCCTAAAAGGGCCCGGGCCAAGCGGCCCGAGAGGCAGGTGGGTGGCCCGAGAGGCAGGGGTGGCGAAGCTAGCGGGTGCTAGTATTCGTGTGACCACGTGACATCTAATAACACTAGACTAATCAAAAAATTTATCAAATGACAGATTACATATTTTTTGACTGTCTGATACGTGGCTGTCCGTGTCGTGTACTGAATATAATTTATATACGTGGCTTATTACTTTAATATTTGTGTGTTTGTACCACGTATCAGCCTATACATGTCCCACTGCTGGGCAACGGCCCCCTCTGTACAGTTGGAATCAGGGCATATCCACCGCGCGGCCCCGCTGCGTATTGGCGGACTTCACATATCTTCGAAATATTTTTTCTTTTGTTACTACTTCGAAAATATGCAAGTTTCCTCACGATGTTTTCCTTCACCGCTGAGCACGTGATAATTCGACACTTAAGGTTAACAATTTCACCGGGGTCGAACTCAGGTTGCTCGGGTATATTCAATTAAAGGCGAGCGCCCGGTTACTGAGCTATCACGGCTCGAAATTTATGTATGTAAAACGTCAAAACTTCAGTATTCACCTTTCGTATTTGGTTGGTAACAATTAATTGTCTGTTGCAACTGTATTTTGATTTTCGATGCTTTAAAATTTTTTATTAAAACAGGAACTAAAAGTTTCTCGCCGCTGTGGGAATCGAACCCACGTCTCCGGGATTCGTGGCCTGACGCTTTAGCCACTAAGCTAAACGGCTGATAGCCACACGGACGAAAATCTTAAAGTCTTTTATCTACATTGTTATTTTAGCATTTGAAGCAATTCTTGGCGCATCCATTGTTATATCGTTACCAGCATACAAACAATTCCGGACGAGAGATGTCGCCCATTTTTAAAAATTAAAAATTTTATAGTGCTAATCTCTGCACTTAAGATTAAACAAACAATTTTAATGTTTAATCTTAAGTGCAGAGATTGACACTATAAAAAATTAAATTTCGACGTATTCTCAGGTGGACGGCGGAAGACTGAATAAATCTATTTGTTTCTTTTTAATCAAAAGCTTTCTCGTTGGAAAGGGACAACAACAGCAGCAGCCGACGCTGGCGGCGGGCGCGAGCGAGATGGCAATAGCGCCGCAGCTCTGGCCCGCGTGCGAACAGAAAATCGCCGAGGCGCCAATGATGGGGGACAAGCAGATGTACTACAACATCAAGATATAGCGGTCGGCGGTTCGGATTTTGCGAATTGGCTGCTTTTGTTGTGTGAATTAAAAAAAAAACTGGAAAAACCAATTGCGAGTGAGACTCGCGTACCAACCTTACCATTCCTTCCGTACCGTTATCTATAAAAATGGCGAAAAAATCGTGTCTGTCGTATCGGAGTCCCGCTTAAATATTTTTTTATTCCGTTTTTTTTTAGTATTTGTTGTTATAGCGGCGATAGAAATACATCATCTGTGAATATTTCGACTGTCTAACTATCACGGTTTATTAGATACCTACCTGGTGACAGACAGACAGAGGAGTCTTAGTAATAGGGCCCCATTGTACCGTTTGGGTACGGAACCCTAAAATGATTTTTTTATCAAGAACAGGCAACCACTAAAGTAACGTCGGCATGAATAAGTTACCGACTGCTACAAATGCTGTTCTAATGAAGATGTTAAATCATTGTAAGTTAAAAAGGTAAACAGTTTCAGAATCCAGTTAATAGCAGACGATAACGATCTCGTTTCGTCGACAAAAACGTCGACGACTCTACAACTATGGGCGTTGAACGAATGACAGACATATAAGGTGTTTTGTCGACTTCAACAATTAAAACAATTTAAGCAATAATTTATCTTAACTATAAAACGACTGGAGTTATAAATCGTTTTCTAAGTATGTAGTTTAATATACACGTAAACAGTTTATTTTAGGCGTTTGTCAAAACGTCGATAGCGTTAATTGTAGAATAGGGACTGCGTATATTTTAATATGGAATTGTATTTATTGATAATGCGTATTAAATTGTGATTGATTTTAATCAAGTGTTTTATTTACCCGTCGTAAGGAAAGGGAATATTCTTTATAAAGGTATGTATGTGATATGTGTGGAATTATTGACTATGGCTCTGCGTCCGTATGCGAATTTGTTTTTAAACAAGTACATGTTAAATAACAAAAAGTAAAACATACTTGAAAAATTTCATCACTATATTTTTTCTATTTGATTTTGAGGAAATTATATTAATATGAGTCCACATGAGACCCAAACGAATCGGATCCAAAAAGAACTTAAAATCTGTTCATAAATGACGGAGTTCTACGTTAACAAACAAAACTAAGGCCGGCCCAATGCGAGTAGTTCGTACTGTTATGTGTAAAATCGGCAAAAAAAATCATGTGTTGGTTTGGGAGTACCACAAAATATTTTTTTATTCTGTTTTTTAGTATTTGTTGTTACATACAAAAATACATCATCTGTGAAAAGATTGAGTGAAGTGTGCCGAGTTGAGGAATTTAATATTTGCGGAGACTAGAGTACTTGATGAACTACAGTATTGTTAACACCTCAACTAAGCTATTACGGTAATAGTATATATCTATTGGTGCGTTTAAAAAAATGTACTGCGTATTGCGCGTTGGGAAAAAATCGTTTATTTCATTAAATGGGACTTAGCTAGCCGATGTGCAAATCACTGGCCCGGCCAACGACACTCTCGATCCAGTCCAAATAGCTGGACACCCTGGTGTAGATAGCCGGCTGCCCGCTCTGGGCGCACTCGCGGCCGAATGACGTCACGCCCATGACGTAGAAGACGCACTGGTTGTCGCTGGACGACACTTGCAGAGGCGAGCCCGAGTCGCCCTGTCAAATATAATCTATATTGGTTAATATAATCTGTGAATAGATTGGTAATAGTATTATACTGATTTAGACATTTCTAGATGAACGTTTGGAGTCGTCTGTTTTTGGTCTAAATATAGGCTATAATTAGTAAGGTTTTGTGACGACACAAACACTGACTTTTTGTTCTCCTTTTGCCGATGACGAATCCTTACTAATATTATATGTATGGATGGATGTTTGTTACTCTTTCACGCAAAAACTTCTGAATAGATTTTAATGAAACTACAATAATATAGCTTATACATCAGAATAACACATAGGTTATAATTTATAAAGGTAATGTGTGAATTGTCCAAATTATAGGTAATGATAAGCCTCAACTAAGTAGGAAAAATTCAGCCATCTGCGAGATATTCTGGTGTAAAATAAAATAACTCATTGTTAATTCCCTTTGGCCGCGCGGGTGAAGCCGCGGTTAACAGCTAATATGACATATAAGTGATAGAACAAACGATATAGAACGTATGATATGTAAAGTTATAGCAATCTAATTTCACCAATTGTTGCGCTAGTGTCATATCTAGCTCATATTTGTATATAGTGTCATTGTACAAAAACCCTGAAATCGTGATTATTCGCACCTGGCACGTGTCTTTGCCACCGCGTAGCTCCCCCGCGCACATTTGCGAGGGTACAAATCCAGTCCACAGACGATTCTTGGCGTTCTGCAACAGCTGGTCGCAAAGGTCGTTCTCCAAAAGCGTCAGGGAGACCTTCTGCAGCTCTTTGGACGGTTTTTTGTTATCTGCAAAAGAGTGATATTTATGATCCACAGATAATGTGGTAAATAGATATTTACTGTAAGATTACAGTAAGGGTTTATACCTTAAAAAAAGATGAATCGCTAGAAATATAATTCTGTGTGGAACCCGAGAGCAACATTATGGATGGTGATTCTTTGCACTTACGTTGCTTTAGTTCATATTAGTTTTTTTATTTCTTTATTATATTTCATATTAAACCACTTCGTAATGGACGCCTCCTTAAAGCAGCAATTTAATCAGAAGTTATTAAGTTAATAAATAACTAATCGAAATAACAATAGAAGGTTTTAAGTTAAAAATGAAATGAATTACTTCATAATAAAAGTAATTTTATATATTTGCAGTCAAAAAAACAAAGTTTGAAGCGATTTCTCGACATACTCTAAAACGGGAAATGTTTAGATAACTTCCGTTCTATAAACATTAACCATATAAGTAGGACAAGATAATCAAGTGGTAGTAGAGTCGGTGTGCAAACACAAATTATACCGGCACGATCACAGATGGTGAAAAATTATCTGCAGGTCATGTTAATGCGTATCCCAGGCATACCTAAGCCTCACGGTGCAAAAATTGGACATATATCTACGTTCTTAACTGCGTCTTTCGTAATGTTACGCTCCATGTAGCTTACATTACAGTGAGAAACGCCTGACACAGAACATTTGTAGCGCCATCGACACACGCCTACCAGAGTGGGTCGCCCCCCAGCCGGTGGCGAGCGCCCTCTCGTGGCCGCCGAAGTCCGGCGAGGGCCACAGGCAGGCGGGGCGGATGCTGCCCTCGAAGTCCACGTCTGCCGCCAACTCTAGCAGTGCGATGTCGTTGTACCGCTTCGGCGGCTGGTAGTCGGGGTGCCGGTGTGTCGCTTTGATGGGCACCTAGCGGCAAGAACGCACCCTCGACTAGCGCCGGATTCAGGGCAGGGCAACCGGGAATGCAGCCCCGGGTCTCCACAAAAGAGACTACGGGAAAAAATTTCAAATTCGGACTAGTAAACAATTTCCGTTGGTTAACTATAAAATTGAACTTTTGTCAATTCTCGTTTCCGATTATATTTATGTGTTCGTTAAATGATAAAAGAAATTATATATTAAATATTTGGTTTCACAGTAAATTGTTTATTGGAAAATTCGACTGAAAAATTTTTTTCATTTTATTTGGAAAATAATTTGGGGCCAAGGGGCCTCCGGCCCTGCCCTCGACATTAAGTTGACGCGATCTTGCCACCTCTATAATAAAAACTGGTCTACTGATTTTAACGCGTCCACCATGATCGTGGAATCTGTACCCGTTGACTATATTACTATTTGCAAAGACTAAGTAAAACCGATCATATAGCTGTTTGCCCAATCATATACAGTTGCACTATTGGATCTCACCGTATACAGCGTGTCTTTACAATCGCGACACTAAATGAACACACATATCGGGGATAACTTTTTAAAATTGTATTAAACATTTACATTCTTTAAACATCAATATTTACAGAGTTATAAAATTTTCCAAAACAAAGAATTTTAGTAAACCCTCACGTATAAAACTGTAACGTAAAGTTCATTTGTAAAGGTCACAAAGCATATGAATGGGTTGAATGAATTTAAAAGAGACAAAACATACTGTTAGAAGGAGAGGCTTGTAATGCGACGCTGTGGCGCGAGTTGTATAGGATGTTACAAATTTTGTTTCTTTTTTACTTAATTAGTTTGGTTGAAAAATATTTTCATTTAATTATGTATTTTGTTTAACGTTAATATTTTTTTATGATTATTGGCAAGTAGTGTTAGACGTGTGTTTATTTATTGTCGCGATGGTAACGACACGCTGTATATTGTGTCGGGGATACATTATTCTTTTGTTAATAATTTTGTTTTTGTTATAATTTATATTTGATTTTAACGTACTTAACTTTTTATATTTTTATTTTTATTTTAGCCAATATGGCAGACGGCCCAAGATGGCGGACTAAGCAGTTATTTTTTATCCACTGCCATCATATGGGTATCAAATGACGAAAAAAAAACCGGCCAAGTGCGAGTCACGATCAAAATGATATAAGATTAATATCATTAATCATAGCTGTTGTATGGGAGTCCCACATAAATATTTTTTATTCTGTTTTTTAATATTTGTTGTTATAACGGCAACAGAAATACATAATCTGTGAAAATTTCAATTGTCTAACTATCACATGAACCGTCATGAGATACAGCCTGGTGACTGACGGACGACAGACAGACAGACAGCGGATTCTTAGTAATAGGGTCCCGTTTTACCCTTTGGATGCGGAACCCAAAAAACCTGTTCGCGTAAAATAAGCCCGGGGAAACGTTGCCGGTTGTATCCCATGACCAACGCCGTTTTAGGCCATTCGGGGCCCTGGGGCACACAAGAATTTGGGCGCCTATTGAAAAGTGAATAAAAGAGTGAATGGGTTTTTGCTCAGCTAGCGCGCTCACCATCAACGTCTGCATCGCCACTTACCATCAGGCGGGATGGCAGTCAAGTGCTGGCCAGTTTTGAATAAAAAAGTTAAAAAAAAAAGAAAAATTAAAAAGTTTGTTGCTTGGGGGATGTCAAAATACCTCACGTCGGAAAGGTAGATTTTATTCATCCCTAAAATTTAATAGCTTCAAACTCGGCAATTTCATTGCCTTGTCACTTACTGCTAAACGTTGCCAGAAAATTGCTAACAACATCATTATTTACTGTGTAAACTTCTTTGTCGGTTTATATTTACCTGAAATAGAAAAAAAAAGTTATTTTATTTTATTATGTATGGAAAACCTACAGCTAACATAGAACCATTAACATATAAATAAATAGAAAAGAGAAATAAAATAGAGAAGTTATAAGAAAATATTGAGACAATATTGGGCCCCGTGTGCCCTTATGGTAAAGACGGCACTGACCACGACCCTGGACTCACCTCTATGGGGCTGGCGCCATCTTTCACGGCGGGGTCGAGGTTCTGGTCCCCCAGGCGCACTATCACCGGCGCCGGCTCGCGGGCCCTCGGCTGCCAGGTGCAGTGGCCGGCAGTCAGCACGAACTTGGGGCTGATGACGCTCCCGCCGCAGCCGAACGTGTACCCCCCCTCGTCGTTTGCCCAGCCTATCGCGGCCTGGAGTAACAGCACTTTTAATGCAACTTAACCAACCAGCGCATATTTATTTCTTACTAGTTTCAGTAGGTTCAGTAGTTTTGGCGTGAAAGCGAGACAGACAGACAGACAGAGTTACTCTCGCATTTATAATATTAGTATGGATTTATTTTATTTTAAAACATTGCCCTTACTTTAGGATAACATCATCCTGAGCTGTAACGGCGTTTTACAGACATAAATTTAACGTGGACAAACACCCAGATGCGAAACAACTGTCGGATCAAAATTCGGTCACACGAATGGTTGTCCCGTGTGGAAATCGAACCCACGACCCCCGACGCCGAAGCCAACACCTTGGCAAAAAATATATATATATATATTTAAATATATATATATTCCCTAAAAAAAAGCTAATTATTTAGGGGCTAATTAACACGAGCGAAGCCGCGGGTAGAAGCGAGTCTAATAATATAGCAGTAACATTTGTTTGTGACGATGCTGTCTTACCATGTGCGGGAATTCCCCCTGTTCTGCCACCTCCCCGCCTACTATGAGCTCGACGCCCGTGTAGTTGCAGTTGGCGGCTGAGATCGTCTGGGCATCGGGCTCCGGCACCAGGGGGATGAAGTCCACCCTCTGCATCACCCCCCGGCTGTACTCCTTGCACTCTTGAACAAATTACCTTTGATAAGTGATAAACATCGGTAACAATTCCTCTGACCGATATTTATGATTTATCAAAGGTAGTTTGCGGCACCGCCCTTGTTCTCAAACTAAAATCTACTCACATACAGAGAGGCTTTGTTACTGGCGCTAGCTATTTTACATTAGCTCCATAATACTTAAGTCAAAATTCCTATATCCAACAACCAAATCTATCTGTTGACCGAATATTGAAACAGCCGTAAACTATTTAAAAGTACTGACTGGCAGACGTTGTCCTGTAAACACGGCTTAAATCCGACAACAACTTAAAAAAAAAAATTAAAAAAACATTGTAGTGGGCCGAATTATGAATCTAAACCATTCTCGAATCTACCTGAAGACACAATTCAACATAATAAATTCATTGAAACGGTCCAGCCGTTTAGAAGTTCACTGACATACATACGTACAGATGAATTATATGTATAAAGATGAAGCGTTTATAAATGAAACGACGATATCGCGGCGGAGGTAATCGTTTACCCACAGATAATCGTTTCAGATCTGGGTGTTTGTCCACGTGAAATTTGTGTATGTAAAACTAAAAATTTAAGGATACAACACACTGCACAGAGTAATGTCATCCTACAGTTTGCTGGCAATGTTTTCTTTAAAAGTATTTCATTTTGTACAAGAGTGATTAATATCAGTCTAAATGTAAGATGTCTTTAAGATCAATATGATTTTACTTACTTTGCCTCATCTAAAAAAAATTGCCAAAGAGTACAATATCACAAATTCTTTATTTGGGTTTTTGAATCTATTATGTGACACTAATAAATGACACAAAATACTTGTTGAATAAAAGATTTGTACGAGATAAAAATTAGCAGTGACCACGCAAATCCAGAGCGGGAAGAACACCATAGATCCGAAAGAGACAGAGCACAGATTCACTCACTCCTCTCGCTCACCCGTCCCGAGCCTGCGTTGCTGTCATTAGCCGTTCCCCCACCGTCACTGTAAAAGACGACGAGGTCGGTTAAAAATTGATTGATGACGGTTAGAAGTCGATTAGTGGGTTCTAATCCCGCCTACCCAACGCTGTGTACTCAATTCTTCGGGTCACTTGCGTGAAAGTCACTGTCTATTAGTGCCCGATGTAAGGAGACGGTGTAAACAATAATCGATACTACAAAGGCGGTAGGGCAACGCAACAATCTACCCTACAGTACCACTGGGCAGGTATTGTTAGGAAGTTCGGCGTCAAGTATGAGTATTATACTTCTTCGTTTCTTCTGTTGAGTGAGGTAACCAAGGCCCACTCTATAAAAAGGTGGCAACGTATCTGCAACACTATGTGTGTTGCAAATGTCCGTGGGTGGCGGTTATCACTAAGCATCAGGTGAACCACCGGGGATTGCCACTTTCTCAAATAAAAAAAAAAAAAAACAATGCCTCGTTGCTCAGTAACAACCTGCATTGGGGCATGCCACAGGGCATTATAAGCTTTATTGAAACGAATGGGAAATGTAAAAAAGAAAAAGTAAAGTAACAGCCTATAAATATCCCACAGCTGGGCAAAAGCCTCTTCTGTACAAAGGTACATAGTCCACCACGCGTACCCACTGCGGATTGGCGGACACATATTTTCTATGTTGTTTTCACTGCGGATTGGCGGACAATATTTTTTTTGTTGTTATTTCGAAAATATGCAGATTTACTCACGATGTTTTCCTTCACCGCCGAGCACGTGAAAGTCGGCACTAAAGATTAACTATTTCATTGGTGCCGGCACCGGGGATCGAACTCGGGGTGCTCGAGTAAATCGAATTAAAGGCGAGCGCCCGGTCACTGAGCTATCACGGCTCTACAACGGGTGGAAATGTGAAGCATCGAGATGTGTTCCACTGTTGGGCTTTCACCATCCGCCACGTGAATGCATAAAGATCGTTCCTACGGAATCACTTACTCACTCTGCGCTGCCGGCTGTTCTGAGGATGCTGCTCCCGTCCCTGCAGCAGACCAAGACCTGCTCGAAAGAGTGCTTGCAGAAGGTGGGCCGGATGCCGTTAAATCTGGAACAAGAGGTTTTACGAGGAAAGGCGGCATGTGAGCCAGGGGTTCATCTGATCGCAATTGGTACCGTTCCTACAGACGACTCTACTGTTCCACGGCTATGTGAAAGGCTGGCAATCGAGCGGACGATTCACCTGGTGTTAAGTGTTAGCCCGTGTACACTTACAACACAGTTGCAGATGCGTTGCAACCTTTTAATAAAGTTGACCTCGTTTAACTCACTTACCAGACGAAACGCAGGAGTGTAACACTTCCATTTCACGCCGGTCTTCTGTGAGACCTGCCACTACCCGAAGTGACCTGCACATTCGTGCAACAGCGAAGACTGGTACGTTACACTGCTACGGTTTTTTTTATGCGAAAATTTGTCAAACGAGCAGACGGTTCACCTTATGTTAAGTGAATACCGCCGCCCATGGACATCTGCCACACCCGAGGGTTACAGATGCGTTGACAACCTTTTGAAAATTGGGCTCCGGCTACCTCACTCACCAGACGAAACACGAAAGTTTTTGTCATACTTCCACTTTACACCGGTCTTCTGTGAGGTCGTGGTACTTACCTGGAAGGGCCTGCCCATTCGTGCAACAGCCGAGGCTGCTGTGTGGCCCTACCACCGTAGAAAAGCAACATAAAGCAACGTTTGTAGCAATATAGGTTCAGGTTTAACGTTTTGTGCTCGCAAGTTCTTAGGTTTTACCTGTATTTTTGTATCCTTTTTTAAAAAGTCCCGCACCTGTTACAGACTAAATATAAAAATGAGCTTGGCAGCAGTGAGTTTTGGCCCCCAGTCAGATAATAGCTACCGATCGAGCCGAGGTCCAGCCCTCTCGGGCACCCTCGAATCGGAATGCTAAACGCGTTTGGAGTGACAGCCTAAGCCGATCACTCCATGGAGCGCCCGCCAAAGCGCCCTAAGAGCTTGGCAGCCTCCCAAACCGGTGAAAGTAATAGCGTGACGGCCTGAGCCGAGGTTCCCTCGGGAGACCTCGAGCTTAGTCACCTTACTAATAATAATACGCCAGGCCACCTCAAGCCGTTCGGAACTGAAAAGACCCCTAAGGCTAAGTGGCCTAAGTGGCTCATCCAGCCCAAAAAAAAATTGAGTTTTGGAGGATTGCAGCTTGAACACGTCACCGAAATTTCTACATAGTATACAACAAAGTCGTCCCGCTGTCTGTCTGTCCCCATGTTTGCTTAGATCTTTAAAACTACGCAACGGATCTTGATGCGGTTTTTTACTAGATAGAGTGATTCAAGAGAAAGGTTCCTTATATGAATAACTAGCTGTTATCCGCGGCTTCACCCGCCCAGTCAGAGGGAATTAACAATGAGATTTTTATGATACACTAATCATTACCTATATTTTGTACAACTCAAATAATATCTATATTATAGCCCATGTGTTATTCTGATATATACGCTATATTATTGTAGTTTCATTAAAATCTATTCAGTACTTTTTGTGTGTAAGAGTAACAAACATCCATCCATACATACAAACTTTCCCCTTAATAATATTAGTAAGGAAGTAACGATTCATTGAACACTACTTACTGAAAGTCGTCCCTGGCCGCGTTACACTTATCAGGCGTTGAGCAGCGTCCCACAATGCCAGTGTGGGTTTCGACGCAGCTGTCGCCTTCTACAAAAAAAAAGTGTGGATTTATGAAACTACGGTGCAAGCGAAACTATTTTCAAATCGTAGGCATTTAACCGAAAATTTTCAGTCATATATTATTTCTCAATTATAAGAATGTTAACAATTCAAAATTAATATAAATGCTGCACGGTTAGCTGATGCCATAGATGATACATATACAGCGTTTCGTTACAACCGCGACAATAAATGAACACACATATTGTACAGGCAAAGCCTACAAGGCGCACACTTGCAAGCGTTCGTATGCGCGACCTAGTTTATACTTTAGTTCATAATCATAATTTTAATATATTTTAGTGCAGTAAAAGCATTCAATGACATCGTTCGGTTTATTTGGACATTTCTTAACCGCCTTACAATTGACATAAGTTCATCCATCCCACATTGACATTAAGGTGTGGTGGTACACGCAGTTACCAACACACATATAGAGGATAACTTTTTAAAATTGTATAACTTAAGCATTTACATTCTTTAAACATCAATATTTACCGAGTTATTAAATTTTACAAAACAAACATTTTTAAGAACACCCTTACTTATAAAACTGTAACGTAAAGTTCATTTGTAAAGGTCACAAAGCATATAAATGGGTTGAATGAATTTAAAAGAGATAAAACATACTGTTAGAAGGAGAGACTTGTAATGCGACGTTGTCGCAACGAATGAAAAAGTCTCTGAATGTATGAATCAGTTAGTTGTAATTGTATAGGATGTTACTGTTTCTTTTTTTATTTAATTAGTCTGTTTGAAAAATATTTTTTTTAATGTTTTATTTTTTTATGCTTATTGGCAAGTAGCGTTACACGTGTGTTCATTTATTGTCGCGGTTGCAACGACACGCCGTATGCTGGCTGATGCGTCACTGTAATGCGACATGCGATATTCTCACACGGGACAACTATTTGCGTGACCCACAGATAATTAATTGTCCGGATCTGGGTGTTTGTCCGCGTGAAAATGTATGTTAAACATCCTTACCACACAGCATAATGTTATGCTACAAGAAGGACAATTTTTTTATGATGACAAAATATAGTATTCGCGTACGTATGAGTGCAAGAAACCCATAAATAAAATCAAAATCAAAAATATATTTATTCAAATAGACGCTTGCGCGCTCTTATGAATCGTCCAATTTTACATCAAAAATTATGTATTAGGTTCGTAAGGTACCACCGGTTCGGAAACTTGATTTATATACACATATATACAAATGATTATATACATATACACATATATACTTGATTTATATATACATATTACTAGATTTCATATTTTTGCTATCTTTCATCTATAAATTGTGCAATAATTATATGTCACCAGAAGTGACGGTTATCTTTGGGCTTCATAGTCAAATATTACATACAGTATAAAATATTGTAATTATTGTTATAATATTATATTATTTAGTTAACTTTTAAAAATCAATATTCTTATTCGTAGAATAATTCTATTTATTAATTTTAGATCAGTATTAGTATATTTGTAATATGTAATAATAATACTGATTTTAAATGCGTCTGAAGGAAGTTTTTGTCACAGAAATGTGTTTTGATACCATTGTTTTCTAATCAACTTAGTTTTATTTTACAATAACCATTCTGCTGTTACCAAATTATGTGTTCTACGCGTAGTGTGTCCGTGAACATAAATTGTTTTATAATATGCAAATTGTTTGATAAAATTAAAGTCATTAAAATTCGTAAAAGTAATTTCATTTATTCAATTCTTACTACGACATCAAATATACTTAGACATATATTTAATACGATCCAGTATTATAAACAATTATAAAAAACGGATTAACCTTGTTTCTGTGCAATCGCATCTCGTAGAGCAAGGAGAGACAATATCGCGAGAGCAGGGTACATCTTAAATTACAGCTTTAAGTTCAAGTAATATAGCAATTTGTGAGACCTGAAAAGATAAATAAACGCTTTTAGATTGATATGATCAAATAAAAAATATAGTGTTTATAGTATTACATATTTTATTTACTTTGATTTTTTTTTTCTTTACGTAATTTTTAGGGAGTTTTTTATGTATCTTTGTTTTCAGTTATAAAAAAAGTAAAGTAAAGTAACAGACTATCAATGTCCCACTGCTGGGCAAAGGCCTCCTCTGTAAAGAGGGTATGAGGGCGTTGTCCACCACGCGACCTTACTGCGGACTTCACATAATATTTTTTATTATTTCTGAAATATGCAGGTTTACTCAGGATGTTTCCTTCAACGCCGAGCACGTGATAAGTCAGCACTTCAATTATTATTTATTAATTTCAATTATACTCTGTGTACAATATGGAAATAAAGAAGAAAGATAAATAAATTCTACCCACAACTAGACTGTGTTGAATAAGTAAATCTTTTATGGGACAATGTGTACGTTTCAACATGCAGGCTTCCTCACGATGTTTTCCTTCACCGCTGAGCACGTGATAAGTCAGCACTTACAATTGAGAATTCCATTGGTGCCGGAACCGGAATTTGAAATCTAGTTGCTCGAGAATATTGAATTACAAGCGAGCGCCCGGACAGTGAGCTATCACGGCTCTATGGAGTGCTACATCTGACGGGTTTAATTAAGTAGTTGTTTTGTTATAGTTTTATAAACTGACAAAGTGACAGACAATAGACCGAAACTAAGGCACTCAAATTACACCAAGTGGTGTGATTAGATAGCAATTCTATAGAGTGCTATCTCTTTCCGTATCGTACGTTCTATATCATGTGTCACATTCAACTTATATATGTCATATAATGTAAAGCGGAACAATTTTTAAACTTCACGCAGTAAACATTATGTATGTAGCCAGGGCCGGACTTAGGGGAGGGCAACCGGGGCTACAGCCTGGGGCCTCCATAAAAGAGGGGGCCCCACAATATCTACTTCTGAAAAAAAAAATGTGAATGTAAATAACTTTAACTCTGGCGTAATTCAATTAAAATAAATTTAAAACGATAGAGAAAAATCACTAAATAATTTATTAACAAGCAGAATTCGGCGGTCGCTTATAGTTTTCGAAAAAATAAACAATGAAATAGTGTGATTTTTACTATAGAAATCCGCCATTTTATTGTTGTCAATATGTCAATTCTGCTTGTATTTCTTGGTGGTCATAAAAAAGTAACCTAACCTCGAAGGTTAAGGCGCCTGAACCTTCTGACCTAATCTATCCGAGTCGGATTCGCTCTGTGTCGGTTCTGTGACTCATTAAATTTAAAAAAAATCGGACTATCGATAAGAGTATGATGTCGCCCGCTTCCTATATTTATCATGTTGGCAGAACTGTGTATTGAGTTTTTGAAGTCAAATAAATAAAATGGTGGATTTCTTAGTAAAAATAACAAGTTTTAAATATTTTTTTCTCGAAAACGATAAGCGACCGCCGAATTCTTCTTGTTGATTAATTCATTAGAGATTTTTCTCTATCGTTTAAAATGTATTTTAATTGAATTACGCCAGGGTTAAAGTTATTTTCATTTGCCAAAAAAATTAAATTCAGACTAGTAAACACTAGTAAACAACTTTTCTTTTCATATTTTTTTTTCGTTTTTAGCGTAACATAATAATTAGGTAACAAATAATTAGGGGCCAAGGGCCTCCACTCCTTTGTTTTCCCGAGGCCTCCAGACCTCTAAATCCGGCCCTGTATGTAGCTTTATTAGATCGTTACGGCACAGATATGCAAATGCACACGCGTCCACAAATGAAACAATGAGAAGCCAGGCACGATCTCACCGACCTTCATAATCGAGCCAGACGAGTTTTGTTTTTTCCCACGTGAATAATTACTTCTAATAGTGATATAATGATAAGTGATTGATGAAACGTTCTTTAATAGAAACATGATACAATTAGGCAGAGACCCTATGCCTAATCAGAATATCTCCACACTTTCATATAAGTCGGATGCTTGACAATCTCTAGTCAATTTATTAATTCATAATAGATAAAAGACTTCCATCATGAGGAGGGGGTTTGCTGCTCAAAAAGGCTGAAACGATGATTATGATGATGAGATACTAGACAGGCTAATGTCAGGAAACTGCCAATTAATAAAATGCACTTATTAGAACCGCGATAGCTCAGTGTCTGGGCATTCGCTTTTAATTCATTATTCTCGAGCAACTTTGGTTCAAATCTCGGTCAGCAACAGTGACATTGCTAATCTTAAGAGCTGACTCATCACGTGCTCGGTGGTGAAGGAAACATCGTGAGGAAACCTACATATTTTCGATATAATAACAAAACATATATTTCGATTTGCAGTCTACCAATGCGCAGTGTGGTCGTATCGTGGTATTAGAGCATATATCATCTGTACAGATTAGGCCTTTGCCCAGCCCCCTTTTTAGATATAAGAAAATGAATAGAGTATTTTAACAATTGCTCTATCGAAACTATCATGCTCTGAAACGAATATCTCAATTCTGTTAAGAAATACAGAAGTTGTGGTCAGGACCACGCAATAGTCTTCGCTGTTGCACGAATGGGCAGGTCCGTCCGGGTAAGTACCACGATCTCACAGAAGACCGGCGTAAAGTAGAAGTGTTACACTTCTGCGTTTCGTCTGGTGAGTGAGGTAGCCGGGGCCCACATTATTAAAAGGTGGCAACACATCTGCAACCGGTGTTGCAAATGTTCGTGGGCGGCGTTATCACATAATATCAGGTGAACCGCTAGATCGTTTGCCAATTTTTCACATAAAAAAAAAGTTGGACGGAAAGTTCACGCTTAAACCACGATAATATTTTTCGTAAAGATTCGCACAGCTTTTGTAGTACGCTAATAACACGTGTAGGTAACGCGTTCCATCTAATAACAGCGACAAAAATCGCTATCACTGCATTTGCTAAAAACCTGTTGATTTCCGCCTTTGTGGTCGGGACCCAATATAATGATAGTATCATTGTCGTTACGTTCAAAGCGAACGAAGTAATTAAATAATGCTTCCAATCCACCTTTTGTTTACAAATCAATATAAACGGTTTACATAAAACGGAGCACATCCGCAACAACTCACCGATAATCCGGTGACCTTTAAGCGACACTAAATGAACACAAAAACAGTGGTCATAACGCACACGACCAACCGGTAGAAGTGACTTCTGTGATCTGTTGTTGGACTTGTTTATAATCATATAACTTATACATTGTTTTGCAACAGACGTTTGTTCTCGTGTTGTAAAGGGATAAAATATGCTTGACTGTATGTGTATGTTGTGTATGTTGTAACGGGTAGGTAATCCGCGAAAGTAATGAATCGATTCTAAGTTTATTTTTATTATGCCTGAGTAACATCGGGGCCTCATTTATTTAATCAAAAGATTGTTATGATTTCTTGTATTATGCTTATTAATTATATGAGTAATATAATTAATTCACGTAATACAAGAATCATATTCGAGAGACGTGGTGTCTGAAACATCGTGTGGAAAGTTCGGTGGCGGATTTACCAGCAGGCTACAATGATATTATATACAATATATGGCACTATGACACTAGCGCATCGAAACTGAGGCAAGTTACACCAATTGGTGTAATTTTATAGACTGGTATCTCTTTCCGTATAATCCGTTATATATCATCTGTCACATTCACTCATGTATATCACATAACGTGAAGCGGAACAATTTTTAAACGATACTCAATATGGGCTTGCACCATCTAGGTATATTACTAAACATCATTGGCAGCCTAAGTAGGCTAGAGCGTGGGGCGGCAGATTTTGGGGTCTTTTTTGCACAAACAAATAGTTCCGGCACACGTCATAAAATTTTTAGTTCCTGTTCTTTTTTTTCCAGGTCGCGATAGGCTGGGCGAAGGATGAAGGGGCGTACTCGTTCAGCTGCGGCGCGATTGTCATCGGCCCCAAGTACGTGCTGACGGCGCTGCACTTGGCAGCCGAGAGCTCGCGAACCGAAGCCGGTAGTGCGTCTCCGAGATCACAACCTGGACTCCTCCACGAAGGATGGCCAGTCGCATAGAGGCGAATGACATGATACATCTGGCGACGTCTCCCCGGGCATTATTGGTTGGTCTAAGAGGCGTGATAGCTCAGGAGGCTGCGGGGAGACTAAGGAATAGCCACCCTGGATATCCGCAGCCGTAGACCAGGGCGCTGGCTTACGCGCGCAAACTTCCTCTCTAACAGTGAAACCCCGATCGACTGGCATGGCACAGCACCCGTTTGTCTGACCGGGTGTCCATCCTCCGTGTATGGGAGGCCCATCTAAGTCATAATCGCGGAAGATTGGGTCTACATGTTCTCCTGTCGCCAGCTGATGCTACGTTGGCGTTACGTTTACATTTTAGTGGGTAGTCGTTTCTGACCGGAACTCCCACATACCCCTAATACTCCCCCGAACCGAGGGGATATCTAAAAGTAAAGTAACAGCCTATACATGTCCCACTGCTGGGCAAAGGCCTCCTCTATACAGAGGGTATCGGGGCATAGTCCACCGCGCGGCCCCACTGCGGATTGGCGGACTTCACATATCTTCGAAAAAGGATTTATTTTTCGATTATTTTTTTTTATAAGATGGGGATATCTATAAAGGAATTTTTCTCATTTAAAAAGAGGTAGTTTACACACACCGTATTTCCAATTTTATTTATTAAATCTCTTCTAAGGTTCGAAAATTAAAGGGAATACTCTAAGGTAAATCTGTTGCTTACGAAAGAAAATACAACTTAAAAATTTAATTTTATTAACAATAAAAATATAACAAAATCCTTAAAAATTAACAAGTAATAAATAAATTATGCGTTTTAGGGCCATTGAAATAATGAGATTTAATATTCTCGACTGTGGTAAGGCCATGGCGGCTTTTGCTGTTGAACAAATTGACATCTGATATTTAGGTAATGTGTTAGGTATTTCAGTAAATAAACATTAATTAGACAAATTAATGTAATATATAAAATTTTTGTGTCACAGTTTTAGTGTTTATACTCCTCCGAAGCGGCTTGACCGATTTGGATGAAATTTAATATTATGTATATTCAGTAGTTACGAGAATAGATTTATAACATTTTTTTAATGTTTTCTATTCTACAAATCATTTATACGGCAAAACAACGTTTCCCGGATCAATAAACACAACATCACATATCTAGTCCCAAACTAAGCAAAGCTTGTACCTACTATGGATACTAGACATAAACATACTTTTCTTTCGTAAATAAATACATATTTTAGATATATAAACACCCAGACACTAGAAAAGCATTATGTTAATCACACAATATTTTTCTAGAAGTGAAGATCGAACCCACACCCCCAGGCGCAGACGCAATTGGGTTATCAAAAGAAAAATTTTAGAGGTCTTGATTGACTAGCAATTACGCCTAGCTAATTATGTTAACTTTATTTATTATTGATAAGATGTTAATTTACTGATTTATTTATTTTATAATTTATGCACACAGAGTATGTGAAAGAAATGTAATTACATGAAAAGCTTTGTATAAAGGCCCTGCTTATTTCCTAAGAAATTTCTTCCAGCAGACCTGTGACTGGAAATTAATTTCAAATAATAATATAAATTATATTTTTTTAATACTTGCAGTTATGGGTAAAGTTTTGGCTTTCGCACCTGTAAAAATATAATTTTAATAAAAGACATGAATTTTATTCTAAAATGTTCTCTTCAACATAAACTTTAATAATAATATAACTATGCGGATACCTTTAAACTAAATTCAAATCACAGATTTCAATCTCAATGGAGAAAACCGCAAAAATTGTATGAAAAATCTTTTACGGTATACACTCATTACTATAGTGATGCCATTCAAAAAATGATAATGCTGTAATGTAATGACAAACAATGATTTTAAAATGTTCCATGTTTACTCTAAAAATGAAATCAGACTATCACAAATAGGGATGCTTCAAAATTGTTGGTATTTTCTCAGTAAGCCCATAGAATTAGTTGCCTCTTACAACATTCAAATCCACAATCTTGGAATAGCTCGAAATAGCGGAATAGCCGAGTGGTCTTTAACATACAATTATGCAACAATATTGTTATGTATTATAATTACTGTAATAATGACTACATTTTGAACAATGATTTCCGAAAAAATTTGATGAAGACAAATAAAAAATAATTGATAATCTACATTGATACATATAGTCCCATGGGTTCCTGGGCACATAACATATATTGTATTATTTTAAAGATTATACTTGAATCATTAAATTTGATGAAGAATTATGGAAGTTATGGAAATCCGGTAAAATACCGTTGATAAATAATATACAGAGATTTAAACTATCAAACCCCTAATTTATATTATTTATGTAACTTTTTGGAGAGTGCAAATAAAATCATATAATTTCATTCCTCCATCCACCATGGGATAACTATTAAGGTAAATAATAACTATTGTTATATTGTCCATACTCTACAAGTTGTTTTCGCTTTTATAAACATGCCAATGGATATATTTGCCAACTAAAGTTTTTCTATCACTATAAAAATGAGTCTCATCAAGACAAGAGTGAATAGACTCTCATTAAGCCAATGGATTGACTGTCTAACATTACATTACTGCTTATTGTCAGGTCGGCACTAGAGAAGCGCTAACAAGTACCTAATTAAAAAAAATGGTTATACCGTAGATTTGTGATAAATAACAGTATGTTTATATACAGCAGGTTTTAAAATAGTAAACATATATGCAATTAGCCTTGGAAGTACCGCCAAAAGAAATATATAAAAGTACTTGGTTAGAGGCGGTGTGTGACCAAAGGGATAGAACCAGAGCCCCCTTCGGTTGGCATCTCTCACATGGTGGCTTGTAAAGGCTATTATTATCATAAATGCTAGGATGTATACATTTAATTTCTTTGCTATAGAAGCATATACGAGAAGCATTGCAGTCAGAATGAACCAGAATGTTGTGCAGTGGAAAATTCCTCTTTGTTTAAGGTGTGTTAGGTCCTGAAACAATTAAGGCTCAGCTTAAATGTACAGTTAACCACGAGATTTTTACAGTTACAATAGTAAGTTTTAATATCCTTTTTTATCCCATCATCTGATAACTTACCCAATAGTGTCACTTGTAAAAATTATATGGCAATAAAATTAATAAGTGTTACCTCAAGATTATGGTGGTTAGATATGAGGGGTTAAATGGAGAATCACATGATTAATAATTGGAAAACAAGATGCTTTACCTATCACACCAGTATAACAGATAGAAATTCAAGGAGTTTTTTTGGAAGATGGTACAAGAGATGGCGGTTTACCAACGCCAAAGTATAAATCACCCAGTTCACGCCGATCTTTGATGAGATCCAAATACTTCCCCCAAAAGACCTGCCCTTTAGTGCAAGACTGTTGCATGGCCCTACCACAGTTAAAGCCTGAGAGTGTGGTAGATAACAAATTGAGCAGACGGGTCTTTAGAATTTCTCTGTGTGGTGAAAGACAATGAAAGTTTCTCTGACCCTTTCTGAGTATTAGATTTGTCTTTATTTACATCTGAGCATGTTTTAATATACAGCGTGTTGTTATCATCGCGACAATAAATGAACACATGTCTAACACTACTTGCCAATAATCATAAAAAAATATTAACGTTAAAAAAATCCATAATTAAAAAAATATATTTTACAACTACAACTAACTGATTGATACATTCAGAGACTTTTTCATTCGTTGCCACAGCGTCGCATTACAAGCCTCTCCTTCTAACAGTATGTTTTGTCTCTTTTAAATTCATTCAACCCATTCATATGCTTTGTGACCTTTACAAATGAACTTTACGTTACAGTTTCATATGTAAGGGTGTTCTAAAATTATTTGTTTTGGAAAATTTTATAACTCTGTAAATGTTGATGTTTAAAGAATGTAAATGTTTGATACAATTTTAAAAAGTTATGCTCTATATGTGTGTTCATTTATCAAGTAGCGTTAGACGTGTGTTCATTTATTGTCGCGATGGTAACGACACGCTGTAGATGTGGATTCTAACAATACTTTATTCACATATATGCTGGCTGCAAGTAACTTTCACACCCGCTATGTTTTGTACTTTAACAGTGTGATGAATAGATCCGATGTGCACTTATATACGTCATTTTAATTACCACATTTGTAAGGAATTACAAAAACTAGTAACAAGGCTTACCTTTAATCTGAATGACTTAGCAGCAATAAAATGGTCCACGTCTATTATTGAAGAGAGTAATGTACAAAATGCTATGTTGTAGGCTCGCGCTTGATCGGTAAGACCTATGTCGTAGCTGAAGAAAATTAGAGCGGATAGGAAACCGATGCTTGCATGAACACTACTATCCGAGAATGCACGAAACGCCTGCGAATCTGAATATTTTGATTTGAATACAATGTAATCTCCAATAAGTGCTGTAGCACATATAGAAACTGTAAGAAGCATTCTTGTTAATTTCATCATCCTTCAACAATTCACCAATTGCATTTTTTCTTCTGATACGGAGTCTGAGTAGTAGTAAGGTTAATAGGTATGTCTTTCTTGTTTGTATTATCGCGTAAGCATATTTTCATCTATTGATAGCCATTTTTTCGAAAAGATTATGTACTAATTGTTCTTACATTTTAACGAGTTAGTGTGTAGTTGTGTACTAAGTATATTAATGAATTCCAATAATAATAAACGACATGACCAATTTGTATGTCAAATTGTCAATATCATGTCATCTCAGTGTTACCAACTGTTTAAAAATAATACTCCTAAATTAATTTGGAAACCAACTATCATTGAATAAATTGAAACAAACTTCCTAAATTTAAAATCACGATTTTTATATTATCAAGGTATATTCAATATTAATAGTTTAGGGCGGAATAATTGAAAATATAGCATACAAGACCTTGGCCTGACCTTCACCAAAGCATACCACAATCAAGTTATATATTTTGTCAAAAATAAGTAGTTTTGTGTAGTTTTTCTTTCAAAAATGTAAATACTACTCCAACAATGTAAAGCTCCTAAAACTGTTCCTAAAATAATTTACCTCCTAAAAAACTTCCAATATACATTTTTTCTTCCTAAATTTAGGAATAAAATTCCTAAGTTGGCATCCCTGTGTCATCACTCATCAAGTCCTCACTCATCAGTCTGCACACTGCATCAGCCATTAAGACTAATGAAAATACCTTCCTTACTCGACCTATTAGTACATATAAAAGAATACCTAAAGCTAATAATTTATTGTACCCTGCTAGCATATAAATGAAATTAACTTTTCGATAAATATTTAGATTTATATTTTAGTGAAATATATATTTTTGCCTTTTCAAGGAAAATAAACATGTATAAAAAATAATATATAAATAATTCAACGTTTAGGTTTGGTAAAAACCTAAAAAAAATTCTTTTAAAATGTGTATCTTAATTGTAAACGGAAGCAAAATGGAACGTTTATGTGTCGATCATAACACCACAGATCAGGGTTGCCAACTGAAGGATTTCCCCCACAAATTTGGGGGATAAATAAACGCATTGAGATTTTTTAAGGGGCGTTATGTTTCTAGCCCTACTTCCATTTAATTTAATTTTTTTGCATATTGTAGAGCATCTGTATACTGTGTTAATTGTCATATTTAAAAAAAAATGGAAGTGGGCCGACCATGTAGGACGACTCCCAGATCAACAGGAAGGCCCGTGAGAAGATGGGATGATAAAATTAAAAATATCGCCGGTCTACATTGGATGGAAGTAACCAAAAATCACAGAAATTGGCTAATTTAGCAGGAGTTCTTGCTCATTAAATATTAATAAGAAAGATTAAAACTAACAATAGGATAAGTAAATTTATATAAGTAACTACTAAGAATTGTTTATGTACGTGCAACAAATAATTTTTTTATTATATTTTTTGGGATTTTTTAGACTTCTTATATTTTTTCCTACGTTTCTCCTGTTATTTTTTTATTAAGAAATATAAAGAGCCTGGATTAACGCAATCTACCCAATCACGTTTTTTTGTTGAACTAGTAGCTTAGCGACATCTTGTATGATTTTTCATTCCTAAAAATCTGGGTTTGAACTATGAAGAGTAAAGATAAAAAGTTTCCGTAAAATGTATTCAATAGCAGTAGCGTAGGAAAAATTTTAAAGAAACCGCCAGAAAGAAAAGTAGTTAAATTTGTTTGTCATTCAATAATAATCTCATTTTTAAATTCATCATCATCATCAGCCGCAAGACGTCCACTGTTGAACATAGGCCTCCCCCTTAGAACGCCACAACGAATGACACTTTGCCATTTGCATCCACCGGTTCCCCGCGACTCTTATGATGTCGTCGGTCCACCTAGAGGGAGGCCTTCCAACGCTACGTCTTCCGGTTCGTGGTCGCCACTCGAGAACCTTTACTCCCCATCGGCCATCAGTTCTTCGAGCGATGTGGCCTGCCTACTGCCACTTCAACTTGCAGATCCGGAGAGCTATGTCGGTGACTCCGGTTCTTCGGCGAATTTCCTCATTTCGGATTCTGTCGCGCAAAGAAACTCCGAGCATAGCTCTCTCCATAGCTCGTTGTGTGACTCTGAGCTTCTCCAATAGGCCAACTTTTAGAGACCACGTCTCAGTGCCATACGTCATCGCTGGCAACACACACTGGTTATAAACCCTTGTCTTTAGGCACTGTGGAATATTGGACGAGAAGATATCGCGTAGCTTCCCGAACGCTGCCCATCCGAGTTGGATTCTTCGAGTGACCTCTTTGTAAAGTTGGACCTGCCTAACTGGACCGTTTGTCCAAGGTAGACATAATGGTCGACAACTTCGAGTGTATCGTTCCCAACAATAACTGGTATGGGTTCGACATAGGCATTTGACATGATTTTCATTTTTAAATTAAGATAAAAATATTTGTTCTCTAAAGAAATCATAAGAGATACATCATTTTTTATAAAATTAAATTCCCTACAAAATTTTTAAACACTTTTTGTAAGACCAACATTTTTGTTGCAATGTATTATTCTATTCATGTGGAAATAAATGTAAAAATCTTTTTATGCTATTTATTACTTATATTTTTTTAAATAATAATATTTTATTTGGGGGTTTTAGGGGTTTTTGACTTTAGCTATAAGCTTTAGGGACAAATATTTTTGAGAGATGGTAACACTGCCACAGATTTAGTTTAGTACTTCTCTTTGCTCACGAATAGTGAAACTTAAAAGTACTTTTCTTTAAATGTTAAATGCGTTTATGATAATATAAGACTTAAGTATCGTTATTTATTTTCATGTTCAATTTCAAAAAGAAGACATTTTATACTTTTTTACATTCTTTTAAAATATGAATGTTTTCAACATGGGCGGACGATGAAACAAAAATAATTTAATACACACCCAAGTTGTACGAAAATAATAATATACCTAAGCATTTATCGGTAAACAAGAACGTTACCAATTAAATCACATTGAATTGAAATCTCTTTTGATCAGTAGATAACTCGATTATTATATCCAGATTCCAGAGTATAGTGCCCTCTCTTATTTACCGGTGCGCGTTAATGCAGCTTTCGCGTTTTATCAGTGTTATCCCAGCCTCTACTACGATTGCATTGATAATATTGATAAATTCCGATAAGGTCGTTCAAACAGCCTTAACATTACATCGCCCACGTGTCTTGCCGAGAGTTATGTGCTAATATAATTTATATTAATACATTTTAAAGTGTTTACGAATGATTGTAGTGAGTGTACTGTATATACAAAATGCGTGAAATTGTGCACGTTCAGGCGGGGCAGTGTGGAAATCAGATTGGATCTAAGGTTTAATTTTTATTACTTACTAATAAAATTTATTATTTTATTACTTTTGATGAGATACGAGTGTTACATCACTTTAAATTCGACCTTATTGTGTCATACAACATTTATACGGTATTTTTCATTGTAACCAACTAATTAATGTTCTGTTCATAACGGTTATTTAAAAAAAATAATCACATCAAGTTTTGTGCTTCAATTATTATCTGTGATATTTTTTTTAACCACACTTTTTTTACTCGCAACGTGGTGAATTGTTTCTAGCTCATTGAACATGCTAAGTTGTTACAAATTCAATCTCTTCGTTCGATGTCTTCGTGCGGAAAGGAAGTTTCAGTGTGCTGTGTTTAATTAATAAAGCTTAATTACATTTTCAACGAAACATTTGGCGGCATTTTTACTTGTTCGTGTTATGTCATCTGAACGAAAATGATTTTAATGATTAACTCCTATTTGATTCTTAAGCGAGTTATGAAATGGGAAAGAAAATATATTTGTGTACTTTTATAATATTTAAAATATTTGTGCCTCTTTTATAAATTTTAACCAACTCTAAGGTGTCAAAATGACGCATTGCGCATTCATAAATTGTGAAAGGTAAAGTTTTAGGGTAATTTTTGTAAGCGATGCTTCCTTCCTTATCATATAAAAAGAACTTGTCAGTAAATAAATAAATCAGCAATTATTATAAACGTTTAATCAACGTTTGCTACAACCCAATCATAGTGACGAACGTTGACAGTTTTGGAACAGGGAATACGTGAAGTAGCTAGTATAATTAATTATATTGTTCCTTTAAATGCAAATATTGTTTGTAGATTTTCATGCCCTAAATTATTGTGTAAATGAAGTAGATGAGGAAATATAATGTCTTGTATAAATTGAACAGTTTTTCGCATCCGTATTCGAATAAATAACTTTATAAAATATTCAATTTCTCATGGATACCTTATATGAGTAAATTACATTTAAATTAGTCTAGGCAGCACAAGTAGCTTTAACGAGGAACGAAACACTCATTGTTGGAAGTAATGTAGTAAATAAAATAACCATTGTCTATTGTGATGAAGGGACCACTATAATTCCGTTGTTATTTCCCGGTATTAAGTAAATACGAAGGTAGAATGAAAGCAAGAAATAATGAAAGAAAATCAATATTTTTCCAGACAATTCGACAATATACATAATCCTCTTTTTGTCTTTTCTCAGCTCCGCCATTTACGTAAGACTTTCGGAATTCTCTGACGTCATCCAGGCTCTTTTGTACGCCTCATAATGAATCTGGTTAAGTTTTGACGTTCTTGAAATGTTTCGGTTTCCACGCTTTGTCTATGACCAATTATTTCCGTTTTTCTCCGGGCATACTTGAAACAACAGACACAGTAATTGTACTGGCTCAGTTGGGGGTTTATATTTTTTTTATAGAAAAGGTTTCAATATTATTATAAGCACACACGCAGTGTTTGCATTCTATCTTTTGACAATTTCCCACCTCTGCATGTTTCTCCTTTATACTTTAATGTTACTTATTTGGCTATAGTCCTCAGTTAGTTTCAGTAAAACTGTGTTCTGAATTCTTAAAAGTAATTTTACCTACATGACTACTCTCTTTTCCAACTCCTCGAAAGTATAGTAGTTCTACGGTATTCACTGCTGACCATCTGTGCTTGTAAAAAGAAATATGAATAAAGTTTCCGTTAATACCCTCATGATTTTAAGAATTTGTGACAAATGGCTTATTAAAACTAGTCGCTATAACGAAAATCAGCTATAGTTACATTGTGGAGGTATAACTTTGTAAACTAAAAGTCGGTACAAGTGAGGGCGGCATAAATTAAATTCACTGTATAATATATTCTGCAACTCTACATTTTTGTATATTCTCCCTGTTCCCAAACAAAATGGAGTAAGCAATAAATCGTGAACATAATGTTTTTAACCTTCTCGCTTGGAGGTTAGGTTTCAGTGACGAAATGTTGTAGTTTTTTTTTAATTTAAAATTAAACAATTTATAAATGTCCTATTAAATATAATGACGGAGTGATAATGGTGCGAATGATTTACAAGTCTCAAATTAATCACTGCGTTGTAAAATTCTATACGATTAAGTAAAAATAAGTTTTATGTCGGGATGAACATGACGTAATTTATGATTTACGAAAACAATCATATATTTTCTTCAATTTCACGAGACCTTTTGAAATATACGTAAGTATATGTATAATATCTGTTTAATTTGGTTTGTATGGAGAAAAAGATGTACCTATTCAATTCAGCTGTATTGCTTTATGCGGCATTTTTAATACGTCCCAGTTGACTCGCACAAAAATCACTCGAAACCTCGACATTTTGTCTTGGTCGCATGGCCACAGGCTATGTTCAATGTCTGATTCGTCGTCCATTATGCATATTGTATATTTTCAGCAGCAATAAAAGTCAATTGAACAAAAATATTTTTACAGTGTGTTAATTTAAAGACTGATGGATAAGATGATAGTATAATGGTACTTTGACGATAGATTATTGCTGTTTTAGCCGACTGCGCGTCGCAACAGAGAGTCATGTCACTAAATAGTATAAAAAATGTCGTCCCGCTGTCTGTCTGTCCCTATGTATGCTTAGATATTTAAAACTACGCAACGGATCTTGATGCGGTTTTTTTTCTAGATAGATTGATTCAAGAGGAAGGTTTATATGTATAATACATTGCACCCGTGCGAAGTCGGGGCGGGTCGCTAGTCAGTCTATATAATTATGTAAAATTTTTGTTCCTTTGTGGTTTTGTTGGTGAACGAACGCGAAGCAAACAGAATGTAATCACTACGTTTATGACGCGAATTCCGATTGTAATCGTTCTTACGTCAATCCAATTGTCTTAATCTTGAGAATGTCACTAGACACAATGATGTTTTAATAAAGATCACGCGATGACGAAAAAAATTGTGAATCTAAACCATTCTCGAATCGACCTGAAGACACAGAAAAAATTTCATTATCTCATTACGGTCTAGCCGTTTAGGAGTTCAGTGACACACACATACAGTAGAATTATATATATAAAGATAAGTAAATGTGACAGACCATATAGAACGTATGATACGGAAATAGATAGCAGTCTACATAATTTAATTATGCATATTATATTAGTAGTAATTATATACCTGTATATTAAATTGCAACCTAATTAAACTAATTGGCGTAATTTTAGTGCGCTATCGACATATCTGCCTCGTATATGTATATAACATCGTTGACTAGAAATTACCTTAATATTCGCGGCGTCTGGTTGTCGCCATATTGTGAAAAAGTTAAAACGGCGAACTGTTAAATGCTCCATTAAAAACAGCATATTGGCGCTTTCAAGCATTCAAACGACTTCAAAAAAAAAGGTAGTGGTTCTCAATACGGCTGTATCTTTTTATGTCTGTTAAACCTCCTTCAATTATGAAACGATTTAAAAAAAAATTGTATTGGGTACGCTGTAGTTCCATTTATCATCAGTATCTCAAAATAAATAGAAAACTGATAGTTAGCAAGGTATTAGATGTCGGTTTCGTTAATAAAAATAACTTATAACTATTACGTTTATTGTTATTTCAATGCACGATGTTCAATTAATGGCTAATGCATAGACAGTCACAAAAGACGTGTTGACAACCACTGAACGTGGACTTCTGGTAATCAACTTACGAAGAAGCTATTCTTCTACCCGACGCCGGTCTTCTGTGAGGCCGCGTCACTAGAGTTGGTCTACTCGTTTAGTAGGAACTATTGCTCTTGCACATGTTTTCTTCTAAGGTAACGACGAGTAAATCAATGTAAACGTCAATAATTTTTTTTTTTTTAAAAACATTGCCCTTACTTTAGGATAACATTATCCTGTGTTGTAAGGACGTTTTTACAAACATAAATTTCACGTGGACAAACACCCAGATGCGAAACAACTATCTGTGGGTCACACAAATAGTTGTCCCGTGTGGGAATCGAACCCACGACCCCCGACGCCGAAGCCAATACGTTGGCAACTGCGCCACGGAGTCATCGAATATTCAAGCGTTAATAAAAAAAAAATCAGAAAAGCTATAATGGGTGAGATATTTGAAGTCGGAAGGTATTTTTTGTTAGTTAACATTTTATAGCCCATACGCGGTTGGGGTTTTTCTATAAATTTATATTATATTTACTGGTCTATTATTTCTAAGCATAATCGATTAATGGCTATAGAGGACTTCGCAATTTACTTTTCGCGGGCGCGTTAACGACCACGTGGGCTTTTGGTCACGTCACCATACGCAGAGCTACTCGTAGCAAAAGCTATTATGTAGTTGCTCTGTCCTTTTTGTGTGAGAAGGTGGCAAGTGGGCCGGCGGTTCACCTGATGTTAACCGCCGCCCATGTATATTTGCAACACCCGCAGGGCTGCAGATGCGTTGCCACCTATTAATAAAGTCCGCCCCGGCTACCTCGCTCACCAGACGAAACGCGGAAGTTAACACTTCCACTACACGCCGGTCTTCTGTGAGGTCGTGGTACTTCCCCGGACGGACCTGCCCATTCGTGCAACATTGGTGACTGTTGCGTGGTCATACCACTATCAACAAGTCAACAAGTATTTTTTTATTAACGACAAGGCAACAAGTATTTTTCAATAAGTCGACAAGTATTTTTTCATTACCACTATCAATAAGTCAATAAGTCAACAAGTATTTTTTTATTACCACTATCAACAAGTATTTTTTTATTAATGAAAAACCAAACCGACTCCATATATCTCGCTCCGTGTTCATTTTCTAATTAAATAAGTTCCCAAAGTATATCCGGAGCCCAAGATCCGATATCGATGAAACTAAAATGGGACCACGTGGGAAGCACCAGTTTTCAAATGCAAAAAGAATCATCAAAATCGTTTCACTCGGACGAAAGTTCAGTTTTTCACAAACATAAAAAAAATACGCTCGAATTGAAAACCTCCTCCTTTTTTGAAGTCGGTTGAAAAGCGAAGA